CCCCCCCCTTACCCCTCACCTCCAGTTGCTGACCGAACTTGGCAGGCATGCTGAACCACCAAATCGGCTTTTCCAAGGCAATGACGGAATTATACAAACCTATCTCCGGCCGTGCATCAGACCCCAGTTCCTACACTATTGAGGGCAACCCGGAAGGAATCAGGGCGTGTGAGGAATACGAGGCAATCGTGCGCGACCTGCAGGAGTCTCTCGTCCCCGAGCTGGAGATGATTGAGACCCGCGTCATTAGTCCTGCGGAACAATTATTGGAAGTAATTAAGGTCATTCGCAAGGTGGCTGTGAAACGGGACCACAAGAAATTGGACTACGATCGCCACAACAACTCGCTCAAAAAACTACAGGACAAGAAGGACAAGTCGCTCAAGGATGAGAAGGCGCTCTACAAGGCCGAGAACGACGTGGAGCAGGCCACACAGGAATACAACTACTACAACGACCTGCTCAAGGAAGAGCTGCCCAAACTCTTTGCGCTCGAAGCCGAGTTCATCCGCCCGCTTTTCCAATCCTTCTACTACATGCAGCTGAACGTCTTCTACACTCTCCATGAACGCATGCAGAGTATCAACATCGGCTACTTCAACCTGCAGCTGGACATCGAGGAGGCATTCGAGGCGAAGCGCGGGGACGTCAAGGAGCAGGCGGAGGCGCTCACAATTGTGCACTTCAAGGCCACGGGCGGACGCCGGCCAGGGTCCAAGTTTGGACCCAAGGACAAGCTGTCCCAGGAGAACAAGGGTGGCTACCCGTCACGAAATAAGGACCCCGATGTGGTTGAGAACCCACCACCCCCATACACTGCGGGCGCGGCCGGCAGCAGTTACACGGCTACGGCCAAGAGCAAGCCCGCCCCGCCGCCCCCCAAGCCCAAGCCCGCCCTGTTTAGCGCGCCCGTTGAGACTGTCACCGCTCTCTACGATTACGAGGCGCAGGCGCACGGGGACCTCAGCTTTTCTGCAGGCGAGGTCATCGAAATTATCCACCGAACCGACAACCAGAACGAATGGTGGACCGGACGTGTCAGCGGTAGGGAGGGACAATTTCCAGGTAAGATATAATGCGCTGGCCAAACTCAAATCCGCTTCAAGCAAGCAGTCACTAACAATCTTCTCAGCAAACTATGTTCAACTCAACTAGCATAACTATATAATATTTTTGCGAATCATCACATTTGCCCGGTGCTTTTTACTTTGGACTATCTGGAGTTTGAGGGAGCCACCATTGCTGTATCACCTTGAGCTGAAGTCGGAAATCATCGGTCGTTTACCTTTGAGGCCTTCCACTTCTTTTCTTCTTTTTCTTTTCGTTTCCTTTATCTTGCTTATTTTTGCTATAGAGCATCTTGCATGATAATGACCGTTCGCTGTATATACTTTTGAATCCCACGATCTGAGGATCAACCTTGCCATCAACTTTTACGAAGTAGCCGATTCCCAGCTTCTGGGGGTGATACTCGCTCGTATTGACAAAATCCATGTTATAGTTAGAGCCGTGTAGTCAGCAGAACCTGCGGACTAGTGCGCGGCCGCCGTGACCAACATTCCGCAACCGCTCTTGATAAGTCAGACCTGGGCATCCAAGAAGAAGGGTCAACGACGCCTGTCAGCCCCAGCATGGTCTCCCAGGGCCCCTGGCCGGGATATATACGATATACGCTTGTAGGGGTATCCAGGAACAACCCCTGGCCCGTGCCTGTGCCCGCAAACCCGTTATCTCCTCTTTCTCCGAGGCCAATCGAGATTCGCGATTCGGTGCGGGATTTTCTCATCTCGAGGCGGGGATCCAGCCTTTCGTGAAGACGCAGAAATATGACCTGTAGTGCCGAACTCGTGTTTTGCCTGCGGCATTTAAGGCGTGGGGAAAACGCTCGGGGAGTTTTATCTGCCAAAGTGAGTGGTTGGTTCCAAGGGAATTCGGTGGCATGGTAGGTATGACTTGACCAAGAGCTTGAAACTTTTCGAGGATGGCGCAATACGTTCTGCTGCTTGAAACCTCGGGATGTTGCTTAGTTCTGGGGTACGTGGGCATGAGCCTAGATCATACTCGGTAATTATCGTCACTGTTCGTTTCGAAGTCATTGTGGGTGCTCTCATTTGACTTTACAACTAATGTTCGGTGTCTAATGCACCACTCCTAGCGAGTCGATGGTCTGTCTAATCACTACTGTAACGTATCTTCTGTGTTTGGACTTTGGTGAGTATTGTACTGTGCACATCGCAGGATGGATGATACATGGTGATATCTACTGACCAGGCGGGGTGGTGGATTTGGCTCATATATGCTCAGCTCCTGCTGGGGTCACCTGCATGCTATACAACTCGAAATGTACTGCACCCATAGTTCATTGGGTAGTGAAAGTCCCTCCCTCCCGCCATCGTGCCAAGGAGCCGCCGCTCCTTATCGCCCTCCATCGTCTACCGCAGATCAGACAAATAAGCACCAAAAAAGTAATGACAAGAGTGGGATTCGAACCCACGCCATCAAACGATGATCAGGAAGCTTTGTAGAAGCTGTGTGCTAAGGTAACCTTAACCTGACGCCTTAGACCAACTCGGCCATCTTGCCTGTTTGTTGAGATTGACTTGGAAAAATAGTTACATGATCCAATATTAATGGAGCAGCTGACTGACGATACGATTAGACAGAGCAGGGGCCCCAATTAATTACTCTAGATGCAAAGTGTGCTAGGAATAGAAGCTTTAGAGTACTAAACATCGCATTGAATGAGATAAGCCCTTTCCACAAGTCCCGCTTGTGTATTTGGGTTCAGAGTGTACAGTCCAGAACTAAGTATATATTCCGACGGAAGCTTGTCACCGCGGCCAAAGAACCAACCCTCTCGACACACTCAACACCCAAAATCCAGAGAGAGAAACCCACGTAACGAACGAAGCCCCTCATAGCATCACCACCGTCCTCTCGAGTCTCTCCCTCCTAGCACCCAATCCAACGCCTCCCCCCCACTCCCACAACTCATCCACTCCGCACATACGCCGGCACAGTCGTCAAATTCAAACCCGTCAGAACATTCGTCCCGTTCCTCACCAGCACCCCGCGCAGGGTATTCTCCACCAGCTTCCCGAGCGGCACCTGCGCCGTCATGGTGAGGTTCCGCATGACGTCGGTGTAGTATGGCACCTGCACGCCCTCGTAGGTGACGTCCGTGCCGACGGTCGTCAGATCCAGATACCCGCGCTTGATCGCGTCGCGCTGATCCCGGAGCACGCGGCCTAAATTGGCGATCACCTTGCCCAGGTCGAAGACCCCGCACACCGGGGTGGAGTGGTTGCCCGGCGTGAGGGTGAGGTTATCGAGGGTGACGTTGCCTACGAGGAGGGTGTTGCTGTAGAGGTTTAGGGTTGTTGTGCCCTGTTACTCCCGTTATGGGGAGGGTATGGGTTAGTTGGGTGGGAGGCGGGGATGATGAGATGGTAAGGGGAAAGGGGGTGAACGCACAATCTCTAATGTCATGGCGGATGGATTGGGAAGGGTTGCGTTGGCGAGGAGGTTTGTTCCGTCGTCGCGGGCGGAGAGGAGGAGTTGCGGATCGGAGATGGAGAAGCCCTCGAAGGAGTTGAGGGCTATATTATCCCGGTCATGGGTGGTTAGTTTGTTATCTCTACCGCACTCCTGTAGGATGAAGAAGGGGCGACATACTGGTTTGGTGAATGTCCTTGTTCATGGTGACGTGGGACTTCAACTTGCCGATATACGCGGTCGTGGAGCCCTTGACTGAGAGAGGGGCGTGGGACTCGAAAACCACGCTGCGGACGTACTCGGTCCACTCGGTCACATTCAATGGAGTTAAGGTGCTGTTGGTTGCCAGGGTGGTGTTGCCGTAGATGCGGGCCGATGGGAGGTAGGCCTTGCCCCAGGTGTTGTTCTCGGGTCGGTCGCGGTTGAAGAGGTTCATGGTGATGGGGTCGATGCGCACGGGGATCTTGAGAGGGAGGCTGAGGGCCGAGTCGATCCGCAGCATCATTGAATCCGGGCGTGGCTGGAGCACGTCGGCGTGGACGAGCACCAGCGTGGACCCGTCGACCACTCGCTGGGCGATGGCAGGGAGGATGACGAGGAAGCTGTTGCTCAGACAGTCAGCTGGTGCGTTTCTTCCAAAGACACAGGCGGGGTTGTCCGTACAAAATAGGCAGAAAGATGGCGAGAAAGATAATGCTTCCAAAGACATAACAGCACCAGAATCTCCTCCAATGGCGACGCAGTCGCTGCGCCCGCGTTCGCTTGCCCGGCTCGAGCGAAATGCTCCTTGTCTTTTCAAGGTGCTCATTATCAACACCCTCCGAGGGCAAAGGTCCCCGGTGAGTGCCCAAGGCATATTTGGCGTCCTCGGAGTTGAGGCTAGAAGGGTTTGTGGCCATGGCCAGGGCCGTGGGTGGAAGATGTTAGTGATTGAGAAGCCCTTCACCTGCTTCCTTGCCAGATGGCCAAGCTCCTGCACTAAGTATCATTGTCGTGAAAAGACAAATGTGGAGGTTGCACGGATGGTTCCAGTGCTACACCCAGTGTAATTGCATGGGCCCTGACCCTGTCGATCAGCCGGAGATACTGTGGAACCCATTGGAGACGAGGAGGTTTGGTACCCATGCGGATGGTGGGCGGGAAAGACGATCAGCCCCGATATTTGGCGTCCTGGACGGATTAGGGCAACGCTCACTTTTGCGACGAAACGAGGATCTACTGGGTGGCAACTTTGGGGGAGTTCATCAGAGAGGCAACTGCAATTGATCGTTCGAACAACGGCTCTTGGAATTGATCAATGTTCTTCAATGAAACACCAGTCTTACACTCAACACTGTAGTGCACGCTATACCCAACATCGCACTTAGTCCTACGGTTAAAGCGCCAAGCTAGTTAACCCTCACTCAATCTCCATATCAATCATGTATCGCGTCTTCCCTGAGGATACTCCCCTCCCACCGAGTCCGCCGCCACCCCGAAGGCCCAGCACAGCAACTACCATCAACATGAACGAGAAAAGCATTTCCGAGCACATCTTCGCTGTTCCCTCAACAGCCAGCAGCAGCAGCAGCAGTGGCACCGCCATCAGCACCACCTCCACCAACCTCCATAATCCCACAACCATAACAGACATCACCGACATAACCACCCACCTGCACAACCTCTCCAACCTCGAGATCCTTCCTCAGATCCTCCGCGAGGGGATCCTCTTCGCCGGTGCCGGCGCCGCCGTCCTCCTCCAAGCCGCCTACCCAGGCATCAGATCCGTCTTCCCAACCACTGAAAACGAACCCAGCAATAGCCTCGCCCAGCTCCTCACCCAAACCCTCCAAAGCACCCTCCAGCAAATTGCCATCCTCGTCTTCGGCACGTCACACGAAAAAGCAATCCTGCTCACCCAACTCCACCCTCCCACCACTACTACCACCACCTCATCCCCGACCCTCAAAACCCCACCCCCAAAAACAACCCGCCCGCAAACCCTCCTCTGGCTAACCGCCACCCTCTACACAACAGCCATAGACCTCTACCAACGCACCTACGGCCCCATCGACTACCGCACTGCCGAACGCGCCTACACGGAGTTCACGCTGGTGCTGCAGGCCCTCACCCTAGGGGAGCTGTGGCCGGCAACCCGCCGGGAATTCTGGGCCTACTGGGACGGGCAGATGGCGCGGTTGGCGGTGACGGCGGATGCGCACCGGGTGGCGCGGGCGGTCCTGCACCAGAGCACCCTCGTGGCAGACCTGTGTCCCCGGTGGATGGCGGGGGTGATGAAGCCGGTTTTCCGGGGGGTGACGATCGAGTTACTCCCGCCGCGGCTGCGGGAGGCGTACGGGTTGAGGTCGTCGGCGCGGACGAGGGGGTGGTATCGGGGGCTGATGGCGGGGTTTGGGGGCGCGGTGTACCCTGCGTTGCCGGGGTGGGTGCGGGGGTATCCTTTACGGGCTTGTTTGGGGGAGCGGAGGGGCGGGAGGGAGGGGGGAGGGGTTGTGGGGTGAGATGAGAGGGTGTATCCTTTGTGGGGAAGAGGGAGGAGGTCTGTGGCTTAGATGATTTGAATCTATTTAAGAGTGAACGGTATTCCAGAGGCGGATGTCTTCTGGATTATCATGCTTTCTTAAATTTCAACTGGGGTATAGCTCTACCTAAGGGAATATTTCCTTGGCCTCTTTTGATACTATCTTCCACTCATCCTTTGGAATGCATACAGTATATCGAGGGCGTCTTCATCTAGCAGTAGTGAGAACCGTTCACTTAACGACGAGCAACCCATCTACTCAGCAGACACATCAAGACCAGATACAGCAGTGTCTTGCCTCGCCTGACCCCCTTCCGTAATACCCCCAATTCTCGCCGAGAACGAAACCGCGCGTATGCTCAATACAGACAGTAAAACAAGATTCATATACATTTAAAAACTATAGTTAGACCAGCTATCTATACCAAGCATCCCCCCCCACCCCCCCACCTCTTACTGCCCGCAAAAACAACATCACGAACTCCCAATCAACGCATTCATAATCTTCCCCACATCCGAAACCAGCTATAACGCCCAATCAGCCCTATCCCATCCCATCCCAACTAGTCCCCAACACCTGAGTCCAGATAGGAAGGGCAAACTCACCGGATTCGCCATATCGATCAGCTGCGTCGTCTCGTTCACGAACCCCGGCGTCAGCAGGCGGTCCGCATTGTCGATGATGCGCTGCAGCTTGTCGATGTTCGCCCCGGACAGCAGCCGCTGCAGGTTCTGTGGCGTGTCGCCCCCGAGCAGCACCGCGCCGCCGCTGACGATCGTCTCGAGCTTGTCGACCGTCTCCTGGCTGAGGAGCTCGGTGGCGCCGTGGAAGATGGTGGGGAGCTCGGAGAGGAGGCCGCTGGAGGCGGGGGCGCGGGGGCCGATGGGGTTGGGCGGTGATGGGTCGGTTGTGGTGGTTGTGGTTGCGAGGGCGAAGGGGGTGAAGAGGAGGGCGAGGAGGTAGGTTTTTAGGGGCATGGTGGTGCGGCTGCGGCTGGGTTTGGATTTGGGATTGGATCTTTGGGAGGAGGAGGAGGAGGAGAAGGTGGTGGTTCGTTTGGGCATTTTGGGTGGGTTATGAGTTTTTTGTTTGAGGAAGTGATGGTATATAGAGGTGGGCAGAAGGGGGTAAGAATTTCTCTGGAGGGGGGGTAAAAAGGGTTTATAGATCTGAATTGATCTAAGGTTGAGAGGAGGGTGGTCCCTGGGTGGAGGGGTGATTGATGCAAAGTTTAATTCATAGATGGGGTGATGGACTCAAAACAACTGTTTCATGTTTTGAGCATCCAATGCACTGGGCATTCCGAGGCTGATGGATCCAATGTATCCATGTGAATTGACCACTTGCAGGGCATGCGAACCAGACTTTGGTATGGTGGGCACCCTCAGGGACAGATTTCCCTGTGCTCGGTCTCCCGCACCCTGGGGCTATCGACCCGGTCGATCACTCCGGGAGTTCTGGCAAAGTCGAAGAAAATGGTGGTTTGAGGGATGATCGACAGTGCGGTACTACGGAGTACATTTCCTTGAATGTATATCAGATTGACCAGTCATGGCACCTCTGCGGCAACCAGGGTCATTCTGACGGTGAATGTGTTTCGTCCTTCGGAGAATGACTCAATGAGGTAGTTCGCGGTTTGACCACGACCCTTGTACGGGAGGAAGACATGACTGGTAGCAAGGTGGGAAATGCCCGTTTTTGAGTCTTCGGGTTGACATTGGTGGATGTTTCAGATTGAATTGATTATGAGGAATTGCTTATCTGGGCCTAGTGGGATCGACGCTCAGGGCGAAGTTTAACTAAATTAAGGTATGGCAGCCGATGCGCGGTTTCTGGCCCACCCGCGTTTGTTGAGTACATTCTTTGATTCCTGATGCCGTTGAATTCGATATCGATACAATGTACGGAGTAAGCTTTGATGGAATTCGCACACCGCAGTGCCTTTACGGGTATAGGAATCGGTCGCGTCTTGGTTCTGGGCGTATTTTTTATATTACTATAGCAGCCTGGGCTTGGATCAGTAATTATAGATTTGAATAGAAGATTCGAATCCAATTTTTCTCAAGTCATACATACATTAACGTATGGTCTAGGCCCCATAGCCATATACCAGTGTTATGCCTTAAAAACAGATGGAGTAAGAGTATCGGACCTGTTCCACATCCAAATGAAGTTGGGAACCTGCATGAACTCCTGTTCATGTTCAATCATACAACCAACAGGCTCAAGAAGACCAAATTGCGGCCGTCATTCGCAGTTATGCTGTACATTCTCATGGATTGAGTCGAGCACATGGCCGCCATATTTTCTTGGGCATCATGAACTCGACCCGAAACTCTATCTACAGTGTCTGACCAACAATCTCAAAAATGGGTCCAGCCAAGCAAAACATGCTCCTACGGTCTGATTTACTCATGATTTAGTCAACTCAGAATAGACAAATCAGCTCATTATATCTCCAGCAGTCTGCTACGCTGTCTGGTGCCATACTAATAACACCGAGGATCGGAACTATAGCAATACTTCCCTGCTCCTGTGTCAACAAAACCCACTACTTCAACAACCCAGCCAAATCCACAAACACAGAGTACACAGCACTACAATGAAGTTCCATCTCAGCCCCATTCTGCTTCTCGCAGCACCCGCCTTCTGCGCCTCCGAGCCCACCCCAACCGAGTCGATATCACTGTACCTTCCCTCTTCCGCTTCCAGGCGGCCATGATCTATGTTCGAAAACGCTGATTCAGATAGAGCACCCTCCAGAACCATCCCGACCGCCAACGCAGACCCCAACCTCAACCTCAATCTCAATCTGAATCTCAACCTCAAGCGCTCCCTCGCAACCATCGCCCCGCCTCCACACTCGATCATCACCCAGATCCCGCCCAGCGCCCTCGCCGAGCTGCTCATCCCCTCGCGCCGCAGCGCGCTGGCCAGTGACTTCAGCAAGGGCGCCACGCCGGCGTGGTACGGGGCGCTTCCGACGGACGTGAAGCGGTATATCTCCTATGTCAAGGAGGAGATAGTCAAAGATGAGGAGACCAAGGGGTCTGGGTCGGTGTTGGCTGGAGAGGAGGGGGTGCGGGAACTGGAGGCGAAGAAAGGTGATGATGAGGTCTCGTCGGGGACGAAGACTGGTGGTGGTGGGGGTGGGTTGAAGGGGCGGGGGGGGGACTCGGTGGGGTTGATGGTTGTGGTGTTGCTTGGGTTGGGGGTCTGGGGCGGTTGGGTTTAGGTGGTGGTTGGACTTGGATTTCGAGGTATGTGTGTTCGGAGGGATTGTGTTTTTGTAGTTAGGAATTGTTGTATTTCATGGCGAGGGTTGTTGTGGGATGGTTGTTGGCACGCCCTCGAGGATTGTGGGTTGAGTGTGTGTCTGAACATTGCTTTGATATCCAATCTGCGTTGACTTACAAGTGGTGTGAAATCGATCGGGGATTACCCAACTTTGAGGGCAGGGGTCTAGATATATTTCTCGAGACGATTTCTTCACGACACGGTATTCATGAGGTAAGCGCGTTCCGCCATTTGATCCAGCTCCTACTCGGGTGTGACGGCAAAAGGTGTTTGGACTGGCACTGAATGCCAGTTATTCGGCATAGTGGTGTCCATCGTGCGTGGCATGTGCTGTAGCATGTTGAGGTTGAGGTTGGTGACCAGCAAGTCATGTCGATAGTGCAATGCTTTTCAAGTGAGTGTTTAATGTTACGACAAGATCCTTACCTGCTTGGTGTTATGTGTTGCTGCTACGAATACTGTCGTGTTGGAAAGCCTGAGGAGAGGGTGAATCACCCCCTCGGATACTCCAATAACTTACATTGATATACTTGTTACTCTTCCTAGACGTCCCCTCGGTGCTGATACTCTACAGAAGTTGGAGGGGTGGTAGAGCCTGGCATTTACCTTCACTTTGTGCTGGAAAGTGCGAAGGCAAGAGGTGGTTGTGTGAAGAACCCCGTGGCAACATGCGTCTGAAGAAAGACAACCACATTCACAATAAGGAAGTAGCTAGCAGAACAGAGGAAACTGCCATTGATGTCTCAAGTGGATAAGCTCACTGATTCGCCCTTCGACCACGCCCCTCTCTCCTTGTCCACCTCCCGGACTTTACAGTACATTCTTTTGCAGGCAAGTAGCAATCGACTATACTATCGAACCTATATCCCATTCACAATGGATCCGGGTTCTTCGCTGGATTACAATACGCTCCACCATATCCGCAAGCCTGACATCCCCTATGCTAATATTGGCTCTTACTTCACCGTCCGCGAGCACTTTCCGCCCCCGCCCCGGGATACCCTCAACATCCGTTTGTCTAAACTCGAGCAGGAGCGAAGAATGACCACGGACATTCTGACCCGGTGCATCGACAACAATCCTGTTTCTGGTGAGATGGGCACGCTGCAGCTCACTCTTCGGACCCTCAATGTGCTTCAGGTCCGCGATAGCTCGACTTCGCAGGTGGTACTGGTTAAAATCATCAAGGGTCATCTCGCCAACGTGCGGGTAGTCGCCAAGTTCTATGATCCGCTGTACTATAACCACCAAAGATCTATACTTGATCCATTCCTCTGTGTCGAGGAGGAATATACCCGGGAGACAGCAGCTTACCAACACCTGCATAAGCATGGCCTGAGTGACTATATCCCTCAGTTCTGCGGATCCTATTCGCTTGACATGCCAGTTCCCGATAGAGGCATTCGCCAAGTGCGTCTGATCCTCGTAGAGTTCATGTCGGGGTCATCGATGAACCGTCTTCGTCCCGGCCGAATCGCCGTGGAGACCCGGCAACACATCTTGGAGCAGATTGTTAGAGCTGAGTCCAGGTTCTACGCCGTCGGCCTGCAGCACAAGGATCTCTACAGACGCAATATTATGGTCGAGGGTATTATAAATAACGATCCAACCTGCCGACCGTACATCACTATAATTGACTTTGGGCGAGCGTATATCGGTCACCCGACACGCGAATATCGTTGGTCGCATGAAGATCGCCTCCTCCCAATTTACATCTCTCCTATCATCCGCTGGTATTGCGGCTCTGTGTCAAAGAAGAACGATTTCATTGACTGGTGTGATTGGGAATGGAAGGACTGGTTGCGCAAGACATTCGCCAAGGACGACCATCAACCATATCACTCCACAGATGGCCAAAGGGACCCCCGACGCTGTTCGTGGGCATAAGTGCTTCGGCAGCATATCTGGTGCTCGGTATCAGTTGTGAGCTTACTTACCTGTCTTCCTTATTTTGAGTCATATAGTGTCGGTGCTGAATGGTTCCAGTCATCCTATCGTTATCTGGAAAGGCCTTTGACGTTGGAGACAGACCTACCTTCAACCTCCACATTGTCCTCTCCTTCCACTATCTACACTGTGGTGACGCATAGCTTTCATTGATTCCCTGCCGCTCATTTAACTTCTTCCCCTGTCTTGCTACCTTCTACCTTCTTGGAAAATGCTGACAAGCACTTGAACTCCATAGCTCATATAGAAACTAGCTAATTTTAGAACCTCGTTTCTCCTTGCGCCTCCCTCAGACAGTTTGAACTTCCCCAAAAGTGTCAATGTATCCGCACTCTCAATTACACACCACGAAATGATAAGACGGATGGAGCTCTGAGTACAGCAAGACCTGATCAATCCCAGAACACGATCGGGGAGCCACCTTTTTTTTCCCCCGCAGAGTTCGTTGTAGACGACGGATTCCCCATCATGATTTGCAATCTTCCCGAACAGCTCTGGTTTGGGGCCATGCACAGGGCCAATTTTGAGGCACAAAAAGGAAGGATGGTCTCTTAAGGAGGCTTACCAAAAGAGGTAAAAAGAAATGGTCCCAGAGGGGGTCGAACCCTCGACTTTAACGTTATTAGCGTTACGCTCTAACCAACTGAGCTATGGGACCCAGTTGATATTTGAGGCTAATATTTGAAAACTATGAGCCAAATGTTCAGAATTAGCTTTGTGGTTGATTGTGTCCAGCTATCAACCGCTCTACTCCCGTTGTCGTCCGCCAGGATTGTTCCCCCGGGATTGAGACCAGCTCTTCTCGGACGGCGGCACTGCGGTCCACGGTTAAACCCCAACATAAGAGACAGCGAATCAATCTCTCTCCGTGGGCATCTACTGGCCAGATTGGCCCACACACGTGGAGAGGTAAATGCAATCCAGCCTTTCGGAAACCTCGCCTAGACCGCCTGTATCCTTTGGAAAGATGACGAGCAAAGGTCCGATGCGAGGGTCCAGTCCGCATGTTTGGCTTCCGGACTTCCGACCATCGCGTGCTGGGGCCGAAGGGACCAATGTGCGCGCAATTGCAAGCTACACCTTCGAGGGTCAGGCTGACCACGGCATGACCAGCTGCCGCAGACAGAGGGGCCGGGAGGGGGCTTTTGAGCACCACCCCCGCATTGCAGGGATATAAGAATCCGATGCTTAAGTGCTCCGGCGGATATTCTATTGGGCTACGCGGGTCAGAAAGAGTGGACAGTAGCAAGGCTGACTGACGCAATCGAATCGAGTTCTAGGTCTAGCCACGAGCTTGTTGGGGGTTATTGAGAGGGGTGGGAAGAACAGAAAAGAAAGAAAGAAAGAGGAGAGAGGGGCCAAGATAAGTGCTTACGCCTCGCTCTTTCTTACCCTGAAGGATGCAGAACCCGTCGGTGCACCTTATATACCTTGCAGCTCCAAGCATGGAATTGGTACCTGTTTCAGACCAGTCGCGCCGCTTTTACGAGCGGGGTTGATGCCTGCCCCTATCATCTGGGTATCCTGACTCCCTGAGGGATCTGATCCTGGGTTGATGCTGTCATTCGACGAGAGCCTGGAAAACGCTTTGGGCTTTTGCTTTGGTTGGAGATCCGAAGCGAGGATCATCGTGGGCGCGATGGGCGGGATGACCCTGCTTACCTGCGGTAGGGGGGTTAATTCCGTCGTCATCCGATCAGGCTGTCTGTCCGTCGGAGCATGCGTGCGCCATTATTCATGATAACTAAGTTACTGATCATCTAGCATCTTGGTCAGAAAGGGGGATCATACGTACCCGGCTTAACCTTATTGCCTGTTCATCTGTGGGTAATTGGGATGAATGGCCATTCAGCCTCATCATTGTCATCATCATTAACATCATCTTCCTCGTCGACATCGACCATCACGATCGTTGTTAATGCCTGAGGCAACAACAAATCCCGACAACCACGAGCCTCATTCCTGTTGAGCCGCGTGCTTCCTTCCTTTGTCCTTCTTTGACAGTTTCCATCCCACTTGGTTCCACTACTACGGAGTAGGTACACTTCGAACTGAAATGAACGAGGAGTCACCCTTTCCCCACCGACGGAGTGGAGATTGAGGCTCAACTGGGCCGTCCGACAGTCCGGAACCTCTCGTCTAGAGTTTCCTTTCGGCTGTTGAATCCTGATCCAATTGCCCTCCCTTGCGTAATCCCGTCGATAGTGGCTCGGGGTTACTGGCTTGGCTTGCTGCTGCCAGGCTCCCAAGATTTCGGTTTAATGTTTACTAGAGTATTGTGTACGTAGCTACCTAGCTACCTAGCTACCTACTCCGTCCCTAGTCCCGAGTCGCTAATTCGTTGAGCCTCTTGAGTGAGTCCCTGGACGAGGACCGCAACAGGCCTCACGAGGGCCAGAGAGCGAATGGGAAGAGACGCTACTATTATTAGCGCCGATCGTTGAGGGCAGAGCGAGAGGTCGTACTGCTGACGGCACTGAAACGCAGCCTTGTCTAGGGTTGTCCCCCTGACAATCAACTGAAGATAGTTACCGTGGAGGAGTTCACTCGATATTGGAGGGATGTCATAACACAGCATAACACAGAGGTCATGCCTGATCTGACCGCCCTTCTAAATATGCTTCGAGTGGGACGGTTGATCTTCGTTGTCGCATTTTTGTTGGAGTCGGTCGTACTTGTGGATCTTTGCGACTGCGATTGTAGTTGTTTTGTTCTTGTTATTGATGCTGCTGCTTGCTGCGACTGCATTCTGGCCCTGGTCCTGGTCCTTGTTTATCACCGATTCACTGCTGTCACTCGGACCCTCGGACCCTCGGTGACTTTTAGTCTTCTTTTTTCGTTCCCTCGGGCGGGTCTCCTTGCGAGCACTACTTGTAAGAGAGAGAAAGCAGAGAGGGAGTAATCAATAATTATTCCCACTCCCTACTACACGCACTAGCTAACCTAACCTACCTTACTTTTCGCCCCCCCTCTCTGACTGATCTGAGCTGCTGCCCGGTTCATTTTTCACCCTCCCAGGAATGAGACGGAGAACCAGCCACAGAGCCGCATCAGGACCCAAAAAGTACAAGTTCTCACCATGACGGCTGATCTCCCTCTTGACTCGGCCCATGCGTTTCCTTTGCATGATCGTGGATTGCCATGGCCTGGGTGGATATTCTTCAGCTGGATTGATTTTTTTTTTGTCTCGTTGTTTACTTCTTTCTTGCCACCGCCCAGATCTTCAGCTGAGACATGCGATTGGCTCTGGATTGAACCTCTCAGCGAAATTCAACCGTTCATGTCTTGAATGAAGCTCGCCACAGTCCACTTGCATTGAAGAACACTGCATTCTCCAAGGCTTGAGGCTTGGTCGATTGCCTGCGCGGCATTGCATTGCAAACATATTACCCGTTGGGGTTTGGCTGAATTGGGCATCGGGTGCCCCCTCGACGTCTGCCTTCCTAACTGGGTTACCAGATCATCACTCCATACTTTATCTCCATCTGACCGCCTTTATTTGTTGGTCGCGTCCTTGTAGTCAACAGTCCTTTCCCTTGTGATTATCAACGCTTGATTCTTTTCAAGGACCAGTGTCTGCGACACTCGATTGTCTCTTTCCTGATGGTCTCGGTCTAGATCTACAGTTTCCCTACCGTCTTGCTTTCCCCCTCCCTTCGCCGCACATGGTTGATAGTCCGAGATGGACCCCGCCCATAGATCCTCCAAGAATCTGGACTGTATTCCCTACGATGTGTTCTATCAGATCGCGTCCAGACTGGGGTCTCAAGACCTGGTCCAGCTGGGCCGCGTCAACGGGGCCCTATACCGTCTCGTTCAGGACGAGAACATTGCCCGCAAAGCCATCGAGGTACCTCTCTCTGATCTGTACAGACAGGAACATGACTAATTGCCCTAGAATGAACTGCGTCATACCACTGAAGGCCAGGAAGCTATTGCCGCCAGAAAAGGGTACCGCAAAGCTCTGGGACGGGCGTTCGACATTCGAGAGGCCTTTGCGACTGCGCAGCCATACTCGGCTTCGCTCCTCGCCTATGGCAGCTCATTTCTCTACAGTGGGGGTGCCCTGACCTACATCTACAGGGAGGAGATCCGCATACTGGACGTTCACGGCGCAAGTTGCACTGAGCAAGTGTTGAACCTTCACCGAGTCGTGTCGCGAATCATCCCGTCCTGTGACCCGAACGAAGAGACGATTCACATCCGGCTCATGCAGTATCATGACTGGAATCTGGCATTTACCGTGGAACGCGAAGACACGGAAGAAACCTGGCTGATAGCCGTGGACATGCGCCCCAAACTGGAGTGCCACAAGACAGGCCGATTGCGGTTCATCACTCGGTTGCCGGACACCCGACGGCTGTTTGTCCGGCTCAACACTCGGTACATCTACTGGGGAACACACAGCATGCTGAGCGCCGACGGGCATCTGCAATGGGTGGTCGAATGCGCGGATCTGCAGACGGGTCGCAACACCACCCGGGCGCCTCTGATCCTCGACAACTTCTCCGGACACGATATTTCCCAGAACGTATGTTTCGGCGTCTACGATGACCACCTCTATGCAGTGTCGACGATGATCGGCCACGAAGCGGAGGAGATCGACTGGACCTCCTACTACGTGTGGCTGTGCGTGTCGCCCACGGAGGAGACCAAGCAGAGCACAATCAACTTCAAGTGGCGGCGGCAGCACCGCGAGGGCCCCGTGAACGACACCTGGTCGGATCTGTCCCTCCGGGTCGACGAGGCCACGAAGCAGCTGATGATCCTCGAGTGCCGCCGCGAATGGATCAACAGCGGCAGCGAAAACATTCGCACGTATTACATGCAATCGCTGCCATCGCCGGCTGAGATCGAGCAGAGTAAGCAGGAGCGCTTCGCCGGCTTACTCCGTCGGACCCGCAACGCACCACCCCCGCCCGCCGTGCTCCCCGATGAGCCCCTGACGCGAACCCTGGACTCGACCAACAAACCCCGCTACGAACCGCCCCAAAAGCGCATCCGCCGCCACTATCACCAGGAATACCCCCCGGGAACCGACCTCGCCAAACGACGCGACTTCATCTTGGCTCGCACTAAATACCGTACCTACAATCTCTCGAGTTCGACATTTGTAGACCTTGTTACTGATGCGGCCGGACCCCAACCCAGCCACAGTATCAACAGCACCACCACCTCTGGTCGCATCCCCACCGACCAACTCCGCCTCCGTCTGACCACGCGCAAGCGCAAGTCCCCCATCGACTCTGCAGGTGAAGAAGTCGAACCGGGACTGCTGTACCCACCGGAGCTGGACGATCAAGACTCGGCCAGCCGCCCACCAATCGACCACAGTGAAGAACGCTTCGAATCGTTGGGGGTGCACATGTGGCCCCCCGACCACGCACCGGCGGCGCTGACGCAGCTGCTTTCGCCCACGAAGCGCATCGCCTCGTCGGAGGTGCGCGCCGCTGCCGACGAACGCTCGCTGGTGTACTCGGTGGATGCGCCGGACTCTAGTGATGGCGACCAAGCGATTCTGTTCATCAACTTTGACCCACTGCTGCGGCTGCCTGGACTGCAGCGATTGGACATGACGGACGGGAGTGTGCGAGCGATGAAGCGGCCAGCGCAAGAGGCAGCTGAACCGACCCATCCAGCAGGCAAGGGGGAGCGCGTTCGCGTTGGCGACGTTGCGCAGATGGAGTCGACTAGGCATACGAGTTTTGGAGCCAAGCGGACCGCGGCGGCGAGGATGGGGATGAGTAAAGGGGGAAGGGGGTCGCCGGTGCCCTCGGTGCGGGAGGAGGGGGCGATGTATCTGCGGCTGGGAAGGGGATTTTGGTTGCGATAGGGTAGGGGTGCTGCCGTATGGTGGATGGTTTGCTGGGCAAACCGCCGTGCTAGGATCCAAGGGGAGTGGCTAATAACTCCGGCAGGCACTGCCTCAGCTACTGTTGTTGTCTGGTGGTGGTAGTGGTGAGTGGCCAGTGGCCGCGAAGTCGGCCTGGGGTTGAGCACTGCCTCAACGTGCCGTGTGGCTGTGCACGCATGACGGATGGGTTTGCTGCAACGCTGGCAGCGCAGCTGGATTATAGATGATAAAACTGATAATATAATTGGCCAATAACAAGCTGCATATATTTAGAGGCTGTGAGTAGGCTACTAAGCTGTGAGTTGCATTCCCTGTTGTAGCTAATCCTTAGTAAGTGAGTAGTGGGTAAGTTAGAGGGGATCTCCGATCGGATAAGCAAGTATGAGCACGGAGTCGACTACCGTCGGAATCGTAAGCCTGATTACAGTCAGCCTTGGCGGTCCTGAGGGTAAGCTTACGAGATCCTGACCTCCACTGACTGGGGAGTGAACCTACTCCTCCCTCACCGATCCACAAACCGCATTGTGTTTGGCGACAACAGGTCATGCCTTACATTAGTGGCGTGACGAACCGTCAGACTTCGCCCGTAGGGTCAAGTATCCGCGAGAAATGCCTATTCGGGGGTGTTGGTGTTAGTTTAGTGTTAGCTGCTTATGCACACCGCGGTCCACGGTGACGGACGGTGATTACTCGTACCTAGGTTGTTGTTTGGTGTATGCTGGGCATGGGACCCGCGGCGGGTCTGCGTAAGACCAAGTCTTCGATGTATGTACAATATGCTCTGATCGGTTACGCTGTACGGATCCTCTGCTCTCGATCACCTGGCACCGGGGTGATGTTGTGTAAGCTCGGTTGCGGGAGGCTCTGTGGTATTTGCTGGATTTGGCTTCTCCTTCTTCTTCTTCTGTGTCGTAGACTACAGTGCCTACCTACATGGTGGGTGGGGCTCTGTGGAAACAAACCTACAACCTACCACACAATGTTCTCTTTTCGAAGGCGTATGCGTTTTGTCGTTGACGTTGCGGGATCCATGGCTCCACCCCTTCTTGACTAGTAGTGGTCATTCACCTAACCAGAAATTCACACCATTTGCTCTATGCTTTGACTTGGATATACTTAGAAGCGTGTCGTGTTGACTCATGCTTCTTGGTGACTGGATTCCTGTTGCAGAGCGGCTCTGTTCGATGTCCTCACCTTGACTGGCGTCTGGGTTGATGCATTGTCTACTTGGGAGATTCGTATTGGTGCCTACTTAGCATAGTGATAAAATGTTTAGTAGTTGAGCGTGAGCGTGGTGGTGGAGAGGATTACGTATCCTTCGCCTTGGAGCTTTGGGGTCGTGTTTACTTCCTCGGAATGGATTGAATTATCCCTGGGATTCGTGTGGGAGAGTATAGTGTCAGTGTCAGTGTCAGTGCAAGTGTCAGTCAATGCAGAAGCCAGCTAAGCTCCCCCCCACCCCCTTCAGACTGTCTCTATGAGTAGTGTACAGCGTACAGCTTACTCAAAATGGCGAGTGGATACCCTACCTATCCCACCTATCTCCATCCCCTATCCCAAGCCCGAGCCCGAGCCCGAGCCCTCCGTATATACGGGGGGTAAATGCACCTTCTTACTAAATCACTATACATTTGACATAGTAAAGCTCTAGCTCCCGCCCGTTGACGAGTCTAGCTTGTTTAGCTGGTACGTAGCTGGGTAGCTGATAGGTTGCGTCGGGTGTGGCAGGTCAGGGAGTGGAGTGCGGTGGAGTGCGGTGGAGTGGAGAGTGGGAGGGGTGTCTGTGCTTTTTCGTATAGTATTTCCTGTCCTGACCTGATCTGGTCTGGATACAGGATGCTCGGGTGAGAGTTTGGGATGTGTTCATGATCTTGGTCAGGATTTGGGGGTTCGGTGGATCTCGGATTAGAATTCCTGGTTCTTTCTTGTCTCCGGACAGAGGACGATGGATCGAGTGGGGGTACGAATACGGGGCCTCATGTCTTGGTTGGGGAAGGTTAAGTTGCGATGGGCTTCTTGGTGGTGGTCGGTGTTAAGTCACAAGGAAGGGGGGTGTTTTGGGGATGGGTTGGGTGGTTGGCTTGTGTCATGGGGATTGAACATTGATTCATCATCATGATAGGTCTATGGGGCAGCTTGTCGGTTGGGGATAGGGTGGGATACCGTTCTGCTTATTTCTAATCATTCTAATCACTTCGGAGTTGAGACTCTTCCGAGTGTGTCAGGTCGAGCTGGCTAGTTGCATGAATGGGGTGGGTGGTGCGAGCTCGTGCGCTATGACCGGGGATTATACTTACAGTAGACTGAGTTATAGGTGAATTCTGGGGGGATGAGGTGAGATAGGTGACTCTATACCTAACAGGAAATGTCTAACACGGCACAATCTAGTGCAGAACGCAGGCAATCTGCAACATGATTCACAACTTCCACTCCCGCTTCTCTTCGTCATCCATTTGGCCTTCAGCAGCAGCAGCAGCAGCACCACCACCACCACCACCACCACCACTACCATCAGAACCATAACCACAACCCACTGCACCTCCATCCTCCACCCTCTGCTCCGCATTCAACCGCCCAACCTCCGCCACAATCCCCGGATACGTCCAATTAAACCGCCGAAACCGATGCACCTCCTGCGCGGACTTCCGCCCGCGCGCCTGCACGTTATTCACCTGGATGCGCGATGCCCGCGGCCGGCGGACCCGATCCAGGTCCCGCAACAGCGCCGGCACCGCCTCAGCAGTGACATGCTCGCCCAGGAACAGGCGGAACGCCTCCGCGTCCTCGATCGCCTGGGTACCGCCCTGGCCCTGGTGCGGCGTCATCGCGTGGGCGGCGTCGCCGATCAGCACCGTGCGGCCGGCGATATAGCTGGGGAGCGGGGGGGTGTGGTGGAGACGCCAGACGCGGAGGCCGGGGATGGGTGCTGCGCTGTTCTCGCATATCAGTATCAATTCCACCTCTCGAGGAGAGTGTAATGCATGTCTGTCAAGCACGGCACGCTTACTTAGAAAGGGGAGGCAGGGGCACTCACCGTAGATAATCCCCCACCCAGTCCGGGAAATCCCGGAAATGCTCGACCAGCTCCTCCTTCTCGGCCTCCGCCGACCAGCTGCCCCCCTCGGCGCCGATGCCGATCTTCGCGGCCGTGGACGGCCACAGCATCCCGTCCGGCACGATGACGGCGAAGTTCAGGACCTCGAAGTCCCGACACGGGTAGATCACGACGCGGCGCTCGGTGGCGTCGAAGGCGAAGACGGTGGTGATGCAGCCCGGCTGCGTGCGGTCGAGGTTCCCGGGCCAATAGCCCAGGGCGTCGTGGGCCTGGGCGCGGGTGAGAGTGAAGCGGAAGATGGAGGAGCCGGCGGGGAGGGGGTAGATGTTGGGGGTGGTGGGGAGGACGAGCGGGCGGAGGGTGGATTTGATGCCGTCTGCTGCTGTTGGCCTCCACATTAGTATACTTGTCTCGATGATACTGGTGCCGGTGATTCCCCCCTAACCACCTCTCCACAGCAGATTCAAGGCACTGGCACTGGGACTGGGACTGGGACTGGGCTACAAACCAACCACCAAATCCGCCCTCACCACCTCCCCAGTACTCAACACCACCTCCCCATTTTCTACATCCCCCTGCCCACCCCCACCCCCCACCTCACCCGCGCCGGATCCCCCATGACCCCCAACTCCTCCGACGGCGCCGTCGCCAACCGCAACAGCTCGTCCCGCAGATCCGCCCGATGGAAGAACAGCCAATCTGCCCCGAACTCCCGCCGGTAGTCCAGCGTCGTGTCGGCCGTCACCGCCCCGGCTTTGTTGTAGGCGAGGGTGCGCGCCACGGGGATGGCGCGCGCCCGCCGCCGGTCGAGCCCCACGCTCTCGAGGATCACGATCCCGTTGGGCCCGATGTTGATGGCCGCGCCGGTTTCGTTGGCCGAGGGTGTGCGCTCGTAGATGGTTACGTGGTGTTGTTCGCGGAGGATGCGGGCGGCCAGGAGGCCGGCGATGCCGCTGCCGATTATGGCGATGTTGAGGGGGGGCATTTTTGGATGGTGGGGTTGGAGATGAGGATTGGGATTGGGATGGTGTGGGATGGTGTGGGTTGGTGTGGGTTGGGGTTGAGGGGGTTTGTGGTGTGGTGGTGGAGGAGGTGGTGGTGGTGATACCCTTCCCCCCCTTGCGTGAGGTCGAGGTTGGTCATGCGAGGTGTGAGGTAAAAGCTTAGAGTTTGTTGGTTGTTGATGTCATGCTGGTGATGCGTTACGATAGTCTTCCTCTTATGAGGGAGGAATGGTATTGGTTAGTCTTGGGGGATGTTCTGCATTCCACCGAGTTCATCACTAGCAATGGGATTCCCAGGATGTATACAATGGTGGGGATGCAGCGCTGAGAATGACCTGTGCAGTATAGTCTTCGTAGACGCACTGAGCTTATGTCATGGCTATCACCCCATCTTGGCAAGAAAATACGCGTGTGAAGTGTGACCAGCAATATCCAGCGATCAGACTCATGCACTTGGGAAGAGTCACAATTACATTAAGTTCCCCCGTGTCTGACCGTTTCCATCCATCGGCTAACTGGTAGGCTAACATGGTTTTGTGTGTCAGAAGCCAAGAATGGCATTAGTCTATTTCTTTGATGTCTTCTGTTCTCCACAAGTTAGATATAAGCATATAAGCTAAACATTGAACCAGTGCGGACACAGAAGCATACTAGCGACAACCTCGAGTCTAGGTAGTATCCCCGCCAGGAAGGTGAAGTTAAATAATGACAACAGGAGAAGGAACACCCACCTCTTAAGTTCAAGGGGTATCTGCTTAGTATGCCTAAGCAACTGATAGAACAATCTGGTCATGTCCCATGAGGGCTCTACAATCACTCCCCAGGACCCAGTAGTGCCGGATCATCTGATTGATCGAGATAAGATCCCTGATCCAACTACCAATCAAATCCATGAATGCCGTGGGATTCAAGGCAGAAGGCTGGCCGTGGCAACATTGCGTAACGATGCAGGACCAAACAGAATCCGGATTCTTCCCCGCATGCCAGGCTCGAGTCATCGACTCCCCGACGGGTGGCAGAGGCTTTTCATTGATCGCCCTACCCGGGGTCAGTCGCTCAAGTCCGACACTCGGGCCAAGTCGATTGGTCGGTGCCTAAAAGGGGCTGCAGCGAGTGTTCTGGAAGATTGCCTGTCTGATCCATGGCTGCGTCCGCCGGGCAACGTAATCCTGGGTATGGTCGGAAGTTCCGTGCCGCGGAGGCTGTCTGGAGATTAAATAGGGTCGGGAGGTCGATAGATCTGGTTTGAGGGTTAGGACTGTAAAATGTATCAATCCTTAAAAACTGAAATCTATCCTTCAACGCCCACTGAGTCAGTCTGATAGATGCAGTTGCTCCTCCGTGCTCAGTTCTGTCTCCGTTGGCAGGGCCCCGGCTGGCCGTGTAATGCTGCTGTAACTGCGGTGTATTGTAATTCTGCCCTACGCCTCGTGCAGACCCACTCTCTCCCCCAATGGCAGCCAATGCCGAGTGATGGTGAGCGGGGAAGAAGCGGCATCAGCCAGCCCTGTGAGTCGGAGACAATCTTGCCTCTGCGCTTTAAATACTAATTCTGTCCCCTCCTCCGTGTCAGCTTCTTCTCCCTAGTCCCTACTATTTCTTTTCCCCCTGGTTGTGTCCGGGGGCTATATACACAGAACTCCACATCAAAGACTAGACAGTCTAGACTCTTATCATCTGGCATAGCGTTAGACAATCGCTCTACATTCCAGCCTATCAGTAGTAGTTCACTCGGATATTCTTATCGGCTCGCACACCGACACATCGGCTCACCCCTCCTTCTTGCCAACAGCCTCCTTTTCCCAGCAATTGATGTACTACCAGAATTCGGGATATTCGCAGGGTTGGACCGGCGGTTACCCTCCTCCTTCTCGTCAAGGGAGCTGGGGTCCGCCGCCTCCACACCACAACCAGTGGGTTGACCTTTCCTGCAGCCATCAGACGCGCACACAGACTGACTCCGCTCTAGATATCCCCCTAGTCCACAATACTATCCTCCTGCAGGACCCCCTCCAGGACCTCCGCCAGGACACCAATACTCTCCTCCTCCCGGTCCTCCGCCAGGCCATCAGTATCCTCCACCGTCCGGCCCGCCTCCGTCTCACCACTACTCCTCATCGGGTGGTTATCCAGCCTACCCCTCCCCGGCCCCGTCGCCCTACGGCCACCCTCACACTCCGACCCCGCCACCACAATCCTCATCCCCAGGCCACACCCGATCCTACCACAGTGAGTCCAGAACCCCCCACCCCCCATCCCCCAAGTCACCCCACCCTGCCCTCTAATCCACCCGACCAGGCCATTCCCAATCATGGGGCTCCCTCCCCCCCCGCCCGCCGCAGGAGGCCCAACAGTTCGGCAAGGGCGCCCCCTCCAACTACCGGTTCCAGTACTCGACCTGCACGGGGCGGCGCAAGGCGCTGCTGATCGGCATCAACTACATCGGCCAGCCGAACGCCCTGCGCGGCTGCATCAACGACGTGACCAACATGTCGACCTTCCTGAACGAGAAGTACGGCTACCGGCGCGAGGACATGGTCATCCTGACCGACGACCAGCAGAACCCCATGAGCCTGCCCAACAAGGCCAACATTCTGCGCGCCATGCAGTGGTTGGTGAAGGATGCGCAGCCGAACGATTCGCTGTTCATTCACTTTTCGGGTGCGTTAGACCCTACTGATAGCGAGCTGTGTGTGGGGGTGGGGGCCGTAAAACTGACTGACTTCTGTATCAGGCCACGGAGGTCGCACGCCTGATCTTGACGGCGACGAAGAGGATGGTGAGTCTCTCTTTCTAAAATGTATAAACCCCAGGCATCGAACTAAACAGACCCTGTTGTTAGGGTATGACGACGTAATCTACCCCCTCGACTACCGCACCGCCGGCCACATCGTCGACGACGACATGCACGATATAATGTAAGCGCTCCCTCGGTTCTGTATTCCCCTAAAAAGCACAAATACACGCGTATATATATATCTACACACACACACACACACACATGCACACACATGCACACACATACAGAGAGCGTGACAGCTAACAAAGCCAAAAGGGTCCGCCCCCTCCAACCAGGCGTCCGCCTCACCGCCATCTTCGACTCATGCCACTCCGGCACCGCCCTGGACCTGCCCTACGTCTACTCGACGCAGGGCATCCTCAAGGAGCCGAACCTGGCCAAGGAGGCGGCGATGGACCTGTTCAGCGCCTTCCAGTCCTACGGCAAGGGCGACCTGAGCAGCGTCGCGCAGACGGCGATCGGCTTCTTCAAGAAGGCCGCCAACGGCGACACCGCGCGCCAGCGCACGATGCAGACCAAGACCTCCCCGGCGGACGTGGTCATGTTCTCCGGGTCGAAGGATACGCAGACTTCGTATGTCCCTTCTTACCCTTTTTTATTTTTGTTGCTTTGGGGAGATAAATAAATGAGAAATGGGAGGGGACGGCGTCGCCAGCTGGTAAATAGCATGCTGATTTTTCTTTTTTTTTCGGTGGAACAGGGCCGACACCTTCCAAGACGGCGAGGCCCGCGGCGCGCTGAGCTGGGCTTTCATCAAGACGCTCCAGCAGCGGCCCAACCAGAGTTACCTGCAGCTGCTGAATTCGATCCGCTACGAGCTGGAGGGCAAGTATACGCAGAAGCCGCAGTTGAGTTGTAGTCATCCGCTTGGTGAGTGGCCCTTTCCCATATTTCAGAGGAGTCACGTCGGGCGTGTGTTCTGAGAGTGTGTTTGCTAATGTCTGGTGTAGATACCAATTTGCTTTTCGTCATGTGAGATGCGATGGATTTGAAATGGTATTGCATATGGGTTGGAGTGAGCGATTCTTCTGTTCTATTCAGTTATTAGAAGCCCAACCTCCGGGCCTGTTTATACACTCTTATACAAGATCCAACGATCATGGAGCCGTACTCATCTATTTCACCTGCACGTAACGCGTAAACGCTAGACAACACCACTGAATCTATATGCATCCACTTTTTCCGGGGAGGGAAAGGAACATCCCCACAGCACCCGCTATGCCCCCCTCCCTGAACTAAGCATCCGCCCCCCCACCCACCTCGGCGTTCAAAAACCGCACAAACGCATCGGGGATCTCCTCGCTCTTCAGCCCCCCGCCCCGCGCACTGGCATGCGGGCCCGCCACATACGCCCGGTTCAGCGTGATCCACTGCCGCCGCCACCGCTGCAGCCGCGGCAGCGCCAGCACCCCGCCGGCGGCCGCCAGCTCCTCGGTCGGCCCGCCGCTGCGCGCGACGTGCGCCGGCACGAACAGGGGCGTCGTCGACCCGGGGATCGCGATCGTGATGCCTTCCTCCCGTGTCCCGCTTCCCGACGAAGCGGCGAGCGCCTCGTCGGCGGTGGGGTGCGCCTGCGTGAACGCGCGGATGGCCGCGATGATGCCCGAGGTCGTTTTCTCGATGCTGTACAGCGCCGAGGAGGAGGTCGTCGCCGGTAGGGCGGTGGCTTGGTGCGGGCGGATGCGCGGGCGGCCGAGTGGGTTGCGGCCTCCTGCGGCGGCGGTGGTGGTTGTGTAGGTTGAAGGAGCGATACTGGCGGTTTCGGAGATGTTGGGGTTGGAGAGGTGGGTGTTGTTGAGGGAGGTGGTGGTTAGGTCCAGGAGGGATGGTTGCGGTTGTTGTTGTTGCTGCTGGTCTTCGGGCGATGCAGTGGACGGGTGCGGGAGGCCCGTGAGGGCGGTCCAGATCTCGGCGATGGGAGGCGCGGCATCGGACCACGGGACCGTGAAGAGCGGCTTGTCCCATCGGCTGTGGATGCTGGGTTCTTCGTAGCGGAAGATCAGGTTGTTGAGGAGGTCCGCGGGGTAGGGGTCTTCTTTGTCTGTTGGTGTTGTATCGGTGGTGGGAGCGGGGGAGCTGGGCGAAGTCTCATCGGAGGAGGGTGCACCCTCCGCAGCCTTGCGCTGTATTCTCGCCTCGTTGTTCTTCACGCATTGCTCGATCGGCGTGCCGACGTGAACCTATGCCCCGACCCTCCGGTTAGCATCACACCCACGGCCCTGCGCTAAGCCCCTGAGGATAAGGGGGAAGAAGAAGACATACCACGCAGCTACTCGTCTTCAACGCCTTCGCCTCACACCACAGCTGATACCGATACCCCTTGATGTAGTTCATCCCGTCCAGAATCACGAAACTGTCCTTGCCCAGCGCGCGCTTGGCCCGCGCGTACGCCACTCCGCGCGACTCCTTCTCCGTGCGCGCCTGGTCGTACACCGTGCGCGGGTGCGACGGATCGTGCGTCGGCACCACATGCACCTTGAAGCGCGGTTTCGTCTCCGGGAACACGCCCGAGGCGTAGAGCTCGTCCTGCGTGGCTTCGAGTTGCGTCGCAAGTTGGTTCGCCCGGTAGCTCAGGCCCGAGCAGGGGTAGCCGGTTAGGACTATGAGCTTTTTGCGGGGGATGTTAGTCTTCGGTCTATCGTAGGTGGGGTTGAGCTGGGGAGGCGATGGAGGGATTGGAGTGGGCTTACTGGCATGGTGGGATATGCTGGGTGAGATCGATCTTCAGAATTATCTTTCGTGTTTTGCGGTGTGTGATGCAAGTTGGGGATTTTTTTGCGCGGGGCCGCCGCGGGCGGGCGGTGGGGTTGGTTACATGTGACTTTGCTTTGCGGTACAGAGCTGGCCCTTTTTTTTGTTGGTTTCAACTAGAATGCGATTTATTGGGATTGTATACTTGTTTACCAAGTGTTGTTTAGGGAATGAAAAATGTATAATGCAGTAAATTGATATAAGGGGTATACGCCCGTCTATCCAAGTAAACAATCACTTTTGTATGTACTGTACCCTGTACCCTGTACCCCCGCGCAACACCAGCAGCCATGCAACCCAATCCATGTCTCGTCCAGTCCGTCTATTTCAACTCCTCCTCCGTCCACCGAATCTCGTAACCAAACACCGTTCTCCGCAGCCGCTCATCCTAGACCCGACATTAGCACTGTAACTCGGCCCCCAGCACAACAAGAAAAACTCACTCCCGGATCATTCTCGAACAACACATCGTCCATCACCTTCTCGAAGATCTTCGTGACGTGGAACCCGTTCTCCTCGGCCAGCGGGAAGAACTTCTCCGTCTTGGGCAGCAACCACGGCTGGTAGGGGGTGAAGATGACGAGGGCGACGGCGTCCGGGGCGCGCTTCAGCGCCGCGCGCATCGTCTTGATCAGGTTCGGGTGCTCGCGGTGGCTGTACACCACGTCGGCCATGATGAGCAAATCAAAGCCCTGGCTCCTGGCTGCCTCCGGGAGGTAGGCGAGGAGCGGCTCGACGGGGGCGCCCCATTTGTACCCGTCCACATGCAACGCGGAGTCGCGGCCGACCAGCGCGGCCGACAGCCCCGCGTTGTGGCGCATGTTCTCGACCAGGTCCACGTCCGGGTAGTCGGTCATCACGGCGGTGCGGGCGCCCAGGATGGCGCTGACGATGCTAGGGACGCCCGCCGCCGCGCCGATCTCCAGCACATCCTTCCCCTTGACGAGTCGGTCGGCGTGTTCTTCGAGGTAATGGGAGCTGGTGCGGCCGGCGTTCCAGAGGAGGTTGCCCTGTTGATTACGGAGACGAGGTGAGATTGGTGGAAGAAGAATTCGGGGAGGGGAGAAGGGGGGAATTACGTAGAGAGGATGGCTGCCCACCAGGCGGACGCGCACCGTCTGTCCAGACAGCATGTGATGCTCCGCAAAGCTGGGCTCCGGTTCCGGCTCATAGAACCCCTCCGGATCCTGGAACATGTCCCCGGTGTCGAAATTGTCCTCGTCCGCCATGGTCGATGGTTTTGTCAGGTGGTGGTCCAGGATGCGAGGGGCATTGCGGGCGACCAACTCGGATGCAGGCGCCCTGGGCTGATAATTTCTCGCTATCGCGATAGCGTCGAGTGGAGCTCGCCCGTAGTGGGGGATGTCCTTTCTGGGTTTAGCTTAATCCTCAAAGGTCACATGGTCTCATGTGATCTGGACCGCGGCAGCGAGTCCAGACGGTCACGGTACCTGCAGTGCAGTGCGTTGCGCAGCAAAAATCAGCAGGAAAAACCGAACCCCGCGTGGAGATGCGGACCGGGTAAAAATCGGACACGGGATTTCCCTTTTGGGGGGTTTGGCTCTTTTGGCTCCAACAGCAGAGAGATTTTCAGTCTTGGTTGGTCGAGCAGACATCCATGATGGCCAGTGATTGTTCCAATAAGGCAATCTTGGCGATCTTCAAGGACTTTCTGGAACTGGTTTAGCCCTGCTACTAAGTTCACTCAATTCAGTCCCTTCAATCAATCATCAATTATCATTGCTCAAGGAGAAGATTGGCCTTGCAGTTGACGAGGTATGTACCTTGCGTCAAAAGTACGTATGCCTCCTTTACCCGGGGTGCATGGATAATTTACCAAGTACTGTTACTTCCACCGCTTAAAAGCTGGAAAGCTAACCTCGGGATTCTGGGGTTTGGGTTTGAGGACGGTTTCATCATCATCATCACCCAGTTGTTGAAGTTCTCTCTTATCGTCGTCTTTCTCGTTGCAGATTTGCCGGACGTCATACCGCGGTCTATCCGGTCAACCGCCCCACGTGTTGCTGGGACTGGGACTGGGACTGGGACTTTTTTTTTCTCGCTCGGTCAATCTATTCTTCTTCTACTTGACTGCATCGCTGCCGCTTCCGCTGCTTCTCATCACGCCATCCCCTCCCTCCTATTTCAAGGCTGAGAGGCAGCTAAAATCTCGACTCGACCCCACCGGATCAGTCCACGCACGCCCCGTTGTCGTGGATTTGCAGAGATAGGTGGAAAGCAGCCCTGTCGTGTACTCCGTGCAGTGCACAATCCTCTTTGTTACCTGTTAGATAGTCGTCAGCCTTTAGCCGTCTTTCATTTTTACCTTATCTTCATCTCAATCTCAGCTTATATCAACCGCCATCTTACACCGTCCATCTACACCTTCATCTTCACCTGTACCTACAACCACCACCACCATATACATCACCACCCCATCCAGCCCATCCTACACTTCAAGTACCGATAAGAATAATGGCAACCCTCAACCCCTCCCAAAACCTCACCACCACCTCCCCGGCCAGCTCCATCCCGCAACCCCCCAACCCCCTCAACCTAGCCGCCGCCGCCGCCATGGCCGTCACCGGCACCAGCACCAGCACCAGCACCAGCACCAGCACCACGACCAACCCTACTCAACATCCCAGCGAACCGCATCAACCCCACCACCACCACCACCACCACCACCAACAACAACATCTAGATCCCTCAACCCACACCGACACCTACCCGCACCAGATCACCGGCTCCGGCGGCCCTACCGCCACTGCCCCGTTCCTGCGCGACTTCAGCCTCGTCGCGGAGGCGGCCAAGCGGGCGCAGATGTCGGTCATGGTGCGCGACCTGGAGAGTGTGACGCTATAGAGAGGGTCATCAGGATATCATAGATCTGGGTTCTGGAAGTGCGGCTAGAACTGGTTTTCTTTTTGGTTAGATTTCGGTGCGAGGAGGAGTGCGACGTGGGAGGTGACGTGACAACGAGCGGAACGATACAGCGACAAATCGGTGGTTACTGATTCACAAGTCGGGGGCTGGATTTCTTCGACTCGTGAGGTAAAAGCGCCCCGGATATGCGGATCTAGAAAGAGAGTCGGAGATGGGAGGTCATCGATGGATGCGATGCGATGCGATAATTTTCCAGCGGCATCACGATACAAGCCAAAGCCGGGGCCAAGGGCTCCCAACCTACCGCAACCGCAACCGCAACCGCAAACCAAAAACAAAACCAACAATTCAATTACCGACACCTAGGACCACCCGGACAGACGAGCACACACATATACCCTCATCCTCGGGCCCTGACCTACCACCTACCGACCTTTCCACCTTCCAAACGAAACCCCTGATGCGCCCTCCCTACCGCTGCATCAGTCTACTAATATCCCCTTCCCTTCTGCTTATCAAACTATCTTACATTGGATCTATGTTCCGGAAACTTTTTTTTTTGGTGGTTGTTCAATTCTCAAATAATAATGGTGCACGAGTGGGATGCTGGAAGCGGAGCTTGGAAACATCCAGTACGAGTATTTCTTGGGGCGTTGGACTGTCCTTTTCTGTTGTTTTTGGTTGTTTAGTCTGGAAGACTTGGCTTTTAATGCGGTAGCGCTAGCGGTAGTATAGATGATACACGAGAATCCGAGTTGTTCGTTGCTTATCCTTGATAATGGACTTGACTCTAGTATCGGGGTCGGGATGGTCTTGTATATTCCATACGAATAATATAGGAAAGGGAGAGGTAGCACCGTATATCGAATAGGCCCGGGGACCGTTGCGTCTGGATTGCAATGCGGTAGTGGGCTAGTAGCACCGCTGGACAGTACAGTACACAAATCGAAACATCCAGCCATTCGAGAGCGGGAGGGGGAGGGGAGACGGTGCACAGTACCCAGACAAGCATACCTCCAATGCTACTGCTTCAAAACCCAAAGAGAGTTATCATCCAGTCCGGGCTGGACGGATTTGTGATCCATGGGTTATGTATGTATGTATGTATGTATGTATGTATATGTGTGGGTATAGTCCTTCCACGCACCAGGTCAATATATTAGTCGCGTATCCAATACAACCGGACTGTCGCCAGCAGGGCCAGCAGGGCCAGTGAATGGACGGGTCGATGCTGTGCTTGCTGTACTGTCCATGTCCATGTCCATGTAAAGTACATGTAAAGTACACACGTGTACCCGGACAGACTTGGGTGGGTTGGGGATTTGGAATGTCCCATCCTGTGTGAAGTCGTTCTGGGCCTAGCTATATTTGCTTGCTTGGATTCACTGTATAGAGGATGCGGTGGTGGAGTGCATATACGCGAACTCCAGGCCGGTGATCGGGTGCGTTAGACCGCTTAGTTCAAATGGGTTGGAGGGTGAACCATGAATCCTGCCCTCCTCCTAAAAAAAAACAATGCTATCTTATTGAAGGAGCAATACCCCAACGCCCACCCCAAGCCGATGCAATGTGAAATATGTGAACGAACTTATCAAATCTATATAATAAATCGCACAACCCCAGAAACAGGATCGGGCCGTGCGGACAAACCCGACTCAAGGAGCACAGCGGGAAGGGGTATGTCAATACACACAACGAATAATGCAAAGCTATCTAAGATGTAAGGGTCGGTGGTAGTTTATGGCCAAATCTGATGTATGTACATGAAAAGACTAGATGGTGGATATTGCCGGTTGCCCACTCCGCAGGCAATAAAAAAAAGCGTAATCGTACAACTCAAAGCAAACAAGTGTATAAATAGACATGCATGCGTTGTCTGGTTTTTTGGTGTGTGTTTGTCCCTGAGCGTTGAAAAATGGCAAGCACTCATGTGATAGGTGGTCAAGAAAAGGATAATAGAAAAAAAATTCCACAGACCAGAAAAAAACGGACCGAGAAATGATCAACACCAAACACCGAGCTAATGCAGATGACAAGAACCCCAAGATTAAAGGAGAGAATTGAAATAAATCAGATCAGAAAAAAGGGGGAATCGAAAAATAAAAAAGGAATGACTTTTAAACCAGATATTATGGTATAGAAATGGAAAGGTTCAGACGGTAGAATGGTAGAACGATCGACTAACGGCCGCCTCTGGCTCGCTGAACTCCAATGAGAATATGCGTTTTTCGAGTTTCGTATGTGTGTGTGTAGGTGTTTGCGTCTGTGCGTGTTCTGGGTCGATTTAGAATTGAGGTGGTGGTATGAACAGGCGTCACGTGGAAAGAGGATGTATTCGGATTGAGGTGGTCATCTGACGCGAATTATATGGTGGTGTGATGGCCGCGCAGTACAGGATGCAATTTCAGATCTGCGTCGAAGCTCCGATCAGATTCGGCTGGGAGATGCTACCAACCTGCCCCGGTCTGAACTTCTTCTTGCGCGAGAAGCTGATGCTCAGTCGACGGCTGAGTCGGCGGACCGGCGGGGTCCAGGCTTCAGTCGAGAGAATCGACATGGGGCGAGACTTCGGGGGCTGCGGATGGGCCGGAACGGCGTAGTAGTCCATTGTCGGGCTGGCGATGGAGGTGCTGGACATCACCGCCTCCTCGTCAATCCCAAAGAAGGATTGGCGTCGTCGGCTGAGGACCTTCTCGCTGGTGCTCTGCAGGGACATGTCTTCCACAATGTCGTCGAGGGCGTGGGAGAAGCGACGCAGAAGCTTGGGCTTCTCGCAGATTGACGGGGCGCGCTGCTCCAGGCCGTACATCTGCAGCGGGGTCGACTCGGGGACATCTTCCCTCACGGGGGTGGAATAGTAGCGGGGGATCTTGTAGTGTTCCGGTCGACGACGAGGGGCGGGCGGAAACCAGACATGGTGATGCGGAGATTGTTGGGAGACGGGGCTTCCGGAGTAAGAGGAACGAGATGAGTCGGTGGAGGCGGAGGTCAACATCTTTCTATTTCCGGCAGTGTGTGTGTATGGATGTTTGTGTTAGGTATGATGTATGGGTGGGTGGGTGAAGAGAAAGAAAAGAAACGAAAGGAAGATATTGATTGTTAGGGGAAGGAAGAAAAGAAAGTTGTAACACGGATATGACGAGGAGGCTGAAGAACGATAGTAGACTAGAGACAATAGGTGAGACGATAGACTGGGGGAGGAGGAGGAGGAGGAGGAGCAGCAGCAGGGGGGTTGGTGGTCGATTGACAAAGTGGACAGAGCAGGTAGTAGGGGTAGCAACGAGAACGAGAGGATGAGACCAACTCTCAAACGAGTCAGATGGTTCGTCTGTACTCGGTGTCGGGGGACTATAATTATAGCAGTTTACGGCAGCGAAGAAAGGACGAGAAAGAGACTAAAAGGAGAAAAGTGGGGGCATCCGGAGGATTCACGGCTTCACTGGCCCAAGGCGGATGGAGATGGATCCAGTTATTCGCAGAGAACTGCCAGTGGTAATTCGGTGTAATTGATCGGTACCAACTACGCGAGTTGCGAGTTGCCAGTGATGGGCCTGGGTGGGCAGGCGAGAAGACTCGATGGGAGATGCTTCAGAAGCGGACTGAATGAGGAGAATTATCAATCAGATCACCTATCAAGATCTGTCTAGTACATGTACAGTATATGTACGTACAGTACATACTACTAGGCATTCTAGCCGCCTGACTGCGCCGTTTGCCGTGGGTAGGAAGCAAGCCGATTGGGGTGAGCCAACCGCCTGGACTGGCTCAATGACGCGGCAATTGGTCGCCATGTCAAACACGGTTCTATGGTTAGCTACTCTGGCTGAAACATGCATAGACAGCATTGTTTGATCCTCTTGTCGACACGCACTCGGGTGATGAACAGATCTCAGGAGAGATCATGGATGTGTGGAAGTGGTGGAAGTGGTGGAATTGGAGGTGGGTGTGACATCAAAGTGGAGGAAGACAAACAGAGCAAAACTTACTGTACTGTACATAATCCCATGGCATACTCGGACTAACTGTCCACTACGCTAACTACCCTGAACTAGTACTGTGTACCCCATTACCATCACAGCACTCTTCCTTACCCCTCGTCCCCATCACACTCATACTTCTTTCGTCCCAATGTGACCAACCTGGCGATGCTGCTGCGCTCAACCGAAGGAAATCATCCGAGTCAAAACTGAGGCGGGCCCCGGGACTAGTGAGTAGTGCAGAGCCAGCCACATTGCCCGCTGGGATGCAAGGTGAAACATGATTTGACTCGCTAGTGTCAAATCGGTTAAAGCGCAATGATCTCATCGGCCGCAGGGGCAGGGCCCGCCGGGGCGGGGAGGGGGGCATGTGCAATGCATTGCACTAGCATTGGTCGGTTGTTTTTTTTTTTTTTTTCTCTCTTCTTTCTCCGTACACACCTCACTGCAGTCTGCTGCACTATTCGGGAGTCATGTATGGTACGGGCACCCAAATGGCGTGCTTGAAGGGACCTTGGGTGTGTCACCACTCACTATATTGAATCATTTTGCTCAGCCAACTTTCAACTTTAAAACTGACTCCCCGTCAACCTGCGGTTCGCCGATCACGGCAGCTTATTATTGACATGATCATACTGTTGGCCAACTGATGTGCGGCTCAATGAGCTCCCTCCATTGTTCCACGGGGCAGAATCCTATGTTCTATACAAGGAGAAAAACAAAGTAAAAAAAAAAAAAAGTTCTCAACAATCCACACCCTCATTCACGGTCTCTTCGTATCCAAACTTCGGCTCCCTCACCGGTTGTTCTCACCAACAAATCTACGTACTCAATCGAAACACAATGACCATGCCCAATGGCCCGGGCATTTATCGAAGACCCGGAAATGTCCCATGTAGAAGCTCAGACATGAGCTTGAATCTTTTTTTTTTCCGCGTTCTTCCTCGGTTGCATCGGATTTAGGCAGAAGCATATACCACCGGACAACGGACCGAAAGCCCATCGTGCAATTCACGAAGGCAAGACAAACCGAAAGAAAAAAAAACCCCCCAACAAATAGCCGCCGCCGCTCCACATTATCAATCTGGTCAAGTCTCCACCGTACACAGAGTCAAGCACTTCGATCAAGCACTTCGATCAATCCTACCGTATCTTGCTCCGACGTCCGGAGAGAAGTATGGGTCAATGGACGAATGACGCGTTACCGATTAGCATGTCATATTGTCAATCACGGTTGTCGTCTCCGTTTGTGGTGGCAAGATCTGAGATCTTGGATGGTTGTATAATTGGTTGACGCCGACGAGAAGCCCTAATGTGGCACACCAATGTTCCATGGATATGGTTGATGGAGAGCGTTCCTTCCCGGACGTCTGGAACGCAGCCACGACCGTTGCTGTCGCGTACAGTACATCATCGCAGATATTCATGGCAGCTCTAGACTAGAAACTCTGTGGCGGGAATCATCAGTTGATGGACATCGTAGCCGACAAGCCTACGGTAGCTCTCATGTCCGATACATGGAACAGCACACGTTTGAGTAGATTTTCGCCACTAGACCGGAGCCAGGCTCACCAAAAGGCACTGGCAGTTGGCCGCAGACGTCTTCGTCGGCCGGTGCTATATTTGGATCTGTGGACCACCGGATGGCGTCAACGTAAGCACAGCCATAGAATCTATTTCCTCACGGGAGTGCTGCTACCACGTCAACACGATGGTGATCCGTACAATCAGCGTCGTCGCAACGCATCAACGTACAGTACAAGTGCGTAGTACTCGCACTTCAGGCTGCATCCGCCGGACCCCACCGTCGTCGATCATCTGGAGCGCAAAGACGCGCGCGCGTGCAGGCCGTCAGTCCGTCACGCACAGTCCATGAGGCATCGAGTCTACCTAGCCGGAACTTCATAAGAAGCGGTCGGGCGGACTTGATGCGTTGGGCCGGCCTGTGCGAGACATCTGCTGAGTGCTGGCAGCATGACATGCAGCAAGCATTGACCGTATCGATTCGGCTGTTTTGACTTTCCTTCCAAGAGACTTGACACTGTCCGGATGGATAGAAGTCTTCTTGTTATACTACTACAACCCCAACACCTGAACTGGAATAGACCCCGAGAAGAAACCACCACCCGTCCCTATCGAGACAAACATTGACCTTCCCTATGATCTCAAAAAAAACCACCAACAACCCCTAAAATTCAATAGCGAATCAACACAGCCAAGCCAAGCGCAAAAGGATCCAAGACAAGCCCCCCTCCCGAGTCTCCGACTATCCCCCACCGTCGGCGCCCGCGCCCGCGCCCAGCGGAGCTTACTGCCTGTAGTCTAACCCTTCACTATAAACCATTGTGAGAATACTCAGGAGGCACTGTCAGCAACACCAGATCTGAGACAGGGGGAGGCTATACCTTCGTGGCCAAATCAATCATGTGGGCTCATCAAGTACCGTACAGTACAGCACAGTGCATACCTTTCCTGCGGGAGGACATGCATCCATCGCTAATCAGTCACTTATCGCTATCGATAACATGCAGTTTTAAAGTAGTGTATCAGCTAGATTGCAATGCAGCAGCACTCCTTCTAGAAAGAAGGAACCCCGTGTGCATTCCACGCCAGCCGGATGGTCGGCTCCTTCGGTACAGACAGCTGCCAGAGGGCGATTTAGGTGTTTGGTGGCGTTTATCCCCCATCTCTCTGGCGTCTGTCTGATACCGCCAGCACATTATCACCCTACCCTCCACTAGTCGTCTGTTTAACAATTAACAACGAAAACTTCCCATCTCAATCCCTCGAAAATTCTTTCCTTATTCACCAAGAAACAAAATATCTGCTCCCGGGGATAGTCTAATCAAAACTACTAACTCATGAGGCAATCGAAATCCAATATCCCCCTCCAAGAAATCAATAATAGGGGTTCACCATCCCCAAAGAAAAAGGGCGGCGGGCCCTGCCCCTTTTACGGAGCAAGCAAGCAAGCAAGCAAGCAGCCAACCCTTTCATCATCCGCAGCATGTCATCAGCAGCAGCAAGCAGCAGCAGCATCGCCTGCTTTGCTCCCTCCACCTTTCTCCCTGCGTTCATTTTCTTTCTAAAGGTGCATTGTGAATATGATGACGATTCTACAAAATCACTTCCATGACCTATCCTGCTCAGAGTACTCCACATAGACCCTAAACGCTGTCTCTAGCCTCTACCCATCGTCCCGAGTAACTCTCTCAAGTCACTCACTCATACATGGATACTTACAGAGTCTACCTACCCGGTAGGGTAAGTACCAAACAACCAACCGGACCCTGAACAGGGGGTGCCTAGTGCCTACACTTCCACTTCCACTTCCACTTCCACTTCCAGCCCAGCATCCAACAAATGACAGACCAGAGGACCCTGAAGCTAGCAGCTAAGGCTTCAAGCCCCTGCTTCCTTCCCTTCGTTCCCTTCGGCTTGGCAGATACCCTTCCCCCCTCCCCCTAAAGCCAACGCCAAGAACCGTAAATTAAATTAAAAAAAAAAAAAAAAAAAAAAAGGGACCCGCCCTTCACATTTGATTTCGTCAAACCCTCAAGAGCCAGGCCGCAAGAGGCACTAACGCAGAAACTATCGGCGGAACTACAGACTAGTTGTACTGAAGGAGACACTAGACTACACAAGAGGGCGGCGCCTCGCCGTCTCGGGACGATCGGAGATTAGCTGAGGGTCTGCGACTCTGCACTGCTCTAGTTTGCTAATTCCAGTTCATCTATGACTACATCCGGAAGAGGGTCTGGTTCCTGGGAGATGAAATTACCTCATAGGGGAGAAGACGCGATGGGATTTACTCCTGAGCAATAAAGCAAGCCAGGAACAGTACAGGGGACCATGTCTACAACCAGGAGAAAATCAAGATATCGAATAAATTGTACTTTTTCAATCCATAGTTGGCTAATCAATAATCAACAAAAACAATCGAGGGTTCCCAAGGTATCAAAGTCATCAATCATTAAGAAAACAGCAAACCCCCTCACAAGTCCCTCAAAAACAACCAATTATGGACAAGAAATCCATCACCACCAGAAATGCTGATACATGATCAAGGCGTCCTGTTCATGCCGTCCTGACACCTGTACATGAAAACGAAAAAAATGAAAAACAATATGCAAGAAACGAAGAAAATGTGCCCCATATCCACCCTTTCTAGGTAAAAATCCCATGTCCCATCCATTCCATATACACAACCAGAAAAGAAAAACCCCGAATGTTGATATCATCTTCCTGTTGGCCCGTTTTTGTTTTGCCCAATCCTTGTCCGTTGTCCTGTTCTTCCTCGACAAGAAAAGAAAGCCCGAAATGGAAATATGCAAATCGAAAGAGAAAGAAACCACCCAGCACCGTGAAGTACACCAAAGAGAAAAAAAAATAACGGGTAAAACAAGGTTTTGTTTTACATGAAAGCACCAGAGGATTGTGCACACAGAAGAGAAGAAAGTGATCTCAAGTTAATCACATGGCAGAAACCATCACTGCTTGGAGCAGTGATGCTGGAAAGACGCATTTAGAAAACCGACAAGATTCAGGTTTCATTGAACCTTTATGCGGCAAGTCCGTTGAACTGGGCAGCAGCTTGGCTGGCTTCAATGCTGCGGAAGTTCAATCCCAAAGTGATCAGTTCCTGAAGGCTGGCATTGACCTTCTCGTGCATAGCAGAGTCCTGAGGCGTGATGTTGCTGATCTCCTCAAGCAACCTGGAGCGGCAGTTGTAGTAGTTCCTTTCCGCATTCTGAAGGCGCTGGTTGTGGTGAGCAGAGGTTTGCTGAGCAGCCTTCAGGGGGTTGGTCTGAGACTGGGTGGAGCGAGTGCGCTTCATGGTTGGGGCGGCGGTGACGCCTGTCACCCGACGCTTACGTCCAGTTTCCTTCTTCTTGTTGCTGGGTCCAGTGGTAGGAGAGGCATCTGGGGAGCTGTGTCTCTCGGAAGTGTTGTAGTCGTGAACCCGTCTCATGTGGTCAAAGAGGTTCCATCTGCGGGGGAATCCATAACCCGGAACGGAGCGGTCGCATCCGTCAAAGAGACACAGGTGAGGGTTGTCACCGTGGCCGTGGAATCCGTGGGCCTCGCGCTCGTGGCGGAACAGGCAGGCATTGGACGAGAACTGCAGCTGGGCATCCATGCAGGCAGGCATCTTGCAGCGGTAGGGCTTGAGGTGGGAGTCAAGGTATTTGCTAATTCGGGGTCAATATCGTTCCTGCCACCAACAAGGACGGCGATACTCACTGGTAGGCACACTTCTGAGTAGTGGGAGGGTGGTTGCAAGGCTTGTCGGACTTGGCATACGGGCAGTAGTACTTTCCATCACTGAAGGTAGGCAGGGAGTAGTAAGGGTGATCCCGCGGGTTGCGTAGCTCGGCGCTTTCCTTGGATTTCTGTCGAAGAGTGTCCTTGACGGGCAACGGGGGAAAGAAGTCTGGATCCTGCTTCACCTGGGGCTGAGACGGTGAGGTCTGAATAGTGGGTCTACGGGCACTCTTGGTTGGTCGGATGGTTCTGTTGCATGTCAGTACACCCGTCAATATGTGGGCTCGGAGGAGACAAACCGGTTGGGGTCCTGTTCACTCAGAGGAGGCGTGAGGGGGAACAGAGGATCTCCGAGGTTGATTCCATGGCTTCCAACGGGCGTGGCAGTGATATCCTTGAGCATGGCATCTTCGTGGGTCATGAAAGTGGGGTATCCAGTGTGGCAAGAGGCAACAGAAACATCATTGCTTGCTTCAGTGAGAGGGGGAGAAACGGGGATGGGCTGGAACATAGTGGTATATTGGTCCATGGGAGATCCTTGGTAGTTCCGGGAGTCTGCAACAATGGAGTTCCATGCGTCGTTGGCAGCCAGGTGGCTGTCATCGGTGTGAGAGCTTTGGCCGACGGAAAGAGCATCGTCGGCTGAGCAGGACTGGGCACCATTTGATCCACAAACATCATTTTCAAAAGCAGAGAAGTCAACCAGGGACGAATAGTGGTTGAACTCTTGTGCATGGGTGAAGTCCATGTCATTTTGTTCCGACATATCCTGGATGCTTGAGAAATCGGACCCGGCGTGATGATACATTACATCATTGGGGCCAACAGTGGTTGGCAGAAGCTGTTGGGAGAATGAATACGACAACATCTGGACTGCGGGAGATTCGGGCTTGGACATGGCACCGTTGTCAAGTGCATCCACGTCGCTCAGAGCCCAACCCTTGAAGTCACTGGGAGTTCCATGGCTGTGGTGGGTACTTGAACACAAAGAGAAATTGTCCTGGCTCGAAAGTTCATCATCCTGGATTCCTCTGGAGGCCATGTTGGAGAGTCCTGGGATCATTTGTGATTGCCTTGACTGGGAAATGTGGTCCATGTGGTGCAAAGATGACTGGGACAAAGACATATTTTGTGGTTCAGACTTGATCTGAGGGGTCATTGTATGTTCCAGACTGGCTGGAAGGTTGGGGCAAGCACTAAAAAGCAACTTTCAGTCAGTACACCAACTTAGCCGGATACGAGAAGCAACAGAAGCAAAAATTCAATCGTGCATTGGGATTCCATAATGAACCAGGGCCTGTGATAATGTTAGATTGAAGACTCATATGTCAGGTGAAGGTCTACCAACCAGGTGGATGAGAGAAAGATTGAGATCCAGGTACAGATGGGTCCATCTAGCGGTTGAAGGTCGGGTCTTTGGAAAAAGGCCGATGGTCAAAGACGAGGTTTTAGTCGCGATATCCAAGAATGATTGGCCCGAGTGAAGTGATCGAAAGGTGATAAACGATGGGGCCATGAGTGCAAAGGTCGATGATCCATTTGAGTCCAGTTACTACAAGGGTAGTAACAAACGGTACGGCACGAATTGAAATCGAGGGTAATGGTGATACGGTCCAATATTTGTTGTCTTATTGTCAATCCAGGTCAAAGCGTCAGTCCTTAGGCCATGCTATACATTGTGAATCCAGGTCGCGGCAATTCAATCCAGGAGAAGGTGGAATCCAATTCTGGTACGGGTTCATGAAGCATCAAAAAAATTCCAAGACGGTCAAATCCAAGGGCAGCATCCAACTTCCACACAGGCTTAGTGTGAAGAGATCCAAGGGTTCCAGGCAGAAGCAGAAAAGTGGTCCAGAAGTGTCGAGAAGAGTGTGCCACATTAAACAACACTCAAGAGTGTCCAGTCACACAGCGGCCGCTGTGTGACGCATGTTTATTCAAGCCACGGCAAGTGGATGAAGTTCGTCTTGCGACGAGAAAGGCCAGATGGGTTTAAAAGTCCAGGGAGTCCAGTGGGCGATGTGCGACGGGGCGAAAGTAGGCGACGGAGATCCAGAACGGGTCGAGAGGCAACAAGCGCATGGGGAGAAAGAAGCAAACAAGAAACAAAGAACGAGGGATCTACCTGTTATTCGTCGTGCTCAGACAAAAGCCTCGGAGAGGAGCAAAGAAAGCAAACAAAGCAAGCAGGTCCTATCCAGGATATGGACTGGGTTCCAGAAAGATAGAGATCAGGCTGGTATCAGGGCCAAGGAAGTGATTCTGTGTTTTTTTCCTTCAAGATCCACGGACTGGAACTTGTCTGACAAGAGAAAAGAGGCCTGGGATCGAGTAAGATGTGGAAGAGAGTAAGCTAGCTGATTTGACTGTGACAAATCGAGCACAAGAGTGATGAAGTGGGGTGGTATCTTGAGAGTAGAAGTGGAAGAAGAATTGGGTATCGCTGATGTTTGGGTATCTAGAGTGGGAATCTGTTGGGTTTCTTCTTCGAGTCTGGTGTGAGATAAATAGGAAAGGTCGAGAAGGATTCCATCTGGAGGGGCATTGAGGGCCTTTAAGAAGCGATGGGATCGCATCTTTTTTTTTTCGCTCAGGAGACAGGGCGGGGGTCGTGTGTGTGTGTGTGTGAGAGGGGTGGGAAAAGGAGAAATTGCCGTCCAAGCGTGTGCCGGGCTTTGCATGCTCATGCAGCAGGCGGACTGCCTCATTCTTCCCAGAGTGGGAGCGCGACGGACGATGATTTGACCCTGCAAGACATGGCGGTGATTATGGTGCAGCGCCAGGTGGTGTTGTTCGCGCACTATCTACCAATGAATCAGTGGAGAAGCGGCTTGACGTGGCCGGGCGGGAGAAACGCGATGGATGAAAGTGGATGAGGATGGATGAGGATGGATGAGAGTGGATGGGAGTGGCCGAAGGTTGGATGGAAGTGGATGCGGATGAAGGGATAGTGGATGTATCATTTGGCACCGGCACCACCCGGGCAATTCCTTCCAAGGAGCGGTGAGGCGGCACAATGGGCGTGATTGGCACCTCGCCCCGTAGACTGAGCATGATGCAATGGCAGGCAATGACCGTCGCGTGCAGAACTAACAAACTAACGCAGCGCCCCTGACCATCAATCAGAAGCAACCAGGAGCAATCAGGAGCCGGTCAGGAGCCATCAAAAGCCCTCAGATTCAGCCCCCGCCTGCCCTCGTGAAAGTCACCAACTCTCGGCCTGCCATCGGCTGGTTGAGACAACAACACGTCAAGACCCCTCCTCTCGGGGAACAGGGTTCTGAACTCTCCTCCTGCATCGCATGCAAGCAAACAACGCTGTCAACAGACTCTCGGACTCACGGACAACTTCTCCCCCTTCACCCCTTCTCTCCGTCCACCCCCCCACCTTCCCAAAAAGTACCTACAGCTCCAACGATGAGGTGTTACGTTTCATCGGCATGAGTAGGGACCTGCATGGATCTCGAGGATCTGGTTTCGAGGAGAATAGGAGGCAGAAATCGTCGCATCTGGCACCACGGTCTCCAGATGCGCCGGGAGGTTGGGCAGCAATGTCATCATCTAATTACGGATAGTTTCGGGCAAGTGGGAACTAGACGGGATCTAGTGAAATGATTTTCATATTATAATTGCTTGTGTCTTAGAATGGAATTAGAAATTCAAGAAAAGAACCTGTTTCTGGAGTCCGCTGATTACGAATACCGAGGACTCCGGGTCATGGATCCCTATTTACGGAGCGCTTAGGAACTGTGTCTGAGAACAGGCAATGTCAGCGATGGCCAGCAAATAGAATGGCGTGAAATGACAATGCAACAAGGCAGGCATGGATGTGTATCAGATAAAATTGAAAGATGGTATACGGTTTTCGTTCAGCGGTCCGAGACCTCAGGTGAACTATGCTTATTGGTAGGTTGTTCATCATCAAGGGCGCGAGGGCCCTCCAGCGAACATCCATGCGAGTGGAGGGGCAAGAGGAGGAAAAAAGAAACAAATGGTCTGCTTACCTCGAGCTGATCTGTGAGCATGGTTGCCGATTTAGGCGACAGGAAAAACGGCGAAGGACAGAAAGCCTGTTTCAGCATTCGACTTGACAGTTTCGTGGACCTGTCAACATAAAGACAGGAGGTCCATCATCTTGTCATGTCGGATGCAGACAGCACGACAGCGCCGACAGCGCGACAGGCGCAGGTTGGCTGCTGAAACAACGCGAGGGTTGTCTGTTGTTTGAGAGGAAAGGAAAAGAATTTTGGCGTGTGGGAAGCGGCTTAAGAACCAAGCGAGTATCACGTGAATTTGCGAGGTTTGCACTGGATCGTGGGGAAGTGGTCACGGGTTAGTCATACACTCAGTGGCTTTCCAGCTTCTATGGTTCGTTGGCCGGGCCGAGCCGGTTGGATCTTGTTGCGACTACGGCGGCAACACTAGGTAGGTAATCGAAAGACCATTCCTCTTGGGGTAACGGTACATTTTAGCTGCTGGACACTGAGATGCTCGCGACACGGGGTTCAACTCTTGGTGCTGCTGTCACTCGGGCTTACACTTGAATGACTCCGGAGTAGGGCACGGTCTATTTGATCAGGCTTTAATCGGAGCAAGCCCTTCCCTCCGTCCAAGAGGTTCAATTGAACTGTCCCCGTCCGTGGTACGATACAATATACCCAGATGCTCAATGGCGTAGACACCGCGCATGTTCGTTGGCTCGATCTCCCCACAGACGCAGCTGAAGCACAGCATTATCTGAAGACGTAGCGATCTCTTGCATAGCACTTCAGAAATATGTATTGACGCTGTGTGTCGGCCTTGCCTTGCAGCGCAGTGCATAGTGGCCACAGAGTTGACTCGTTACACTGCGAGGAGCTCTGCACAACCTGCCTCTTCAGGCATCACATGACGGCGGTGGCTCGACACCACCTCTAGCATCGAGACCGTGGCTGATTGACATCACTGCACCTTGTTAATGCTGATCCATTAGCTGACCCGGCAAGGACTCCATCGACCATGAACTGGACCGGAGGGCGTCTCCGACGTCATTCTGCTATTCACGCAAAGAGCAGAAAGCAGAGGTTCAAGAAGCAGAGGACAAATAGAGACCTCAAAGCTACGGGAATTGCGCTTCTTGACCTACCTGCGGACTGTCCTCGGCGGTCGCCGGGCCAGGTGAGTATATCCCACCATCGGCACGAGGTCATGCAGGACAACTAATAATGAGATTGCACAAGCGTAGCAGGGAAGTCTCTCCAGCCTCCATCGCCGAGAGTCACCACAAATCCTCCAACGATAAGGAAGACTCACAGCCCCGCCAGCGTCTGGACCGCCTCCGACGCGACCTCCTGAAAAAACCCGATTGGGCCGCCGTTGCCGCAGCACGGCCAATCCAGATTGCATTCCCCACTCCAGAGTCGCTGGCAAGGTTTGGGAAGCGGAGAAAGATAACGGAGAGTGATCGGACGAGACTGACCACTTCTGGCTCGCGCTCAGCTCATGTTGTATGGCATAGCAAGCGCAAGGGTTCTCCCATGGAGGCGGTGGACTTCTCACAGATGAGTCTGAGGATCAACGGCAAGCGGGTGGTGAGAAGAAGTACGGACTCTGGACCGGATCAACCAGTCATTACGTCTTCTCAGTCAATGCTGCTGGACAGCGACCGACCAGTCCCCACCAATCAATGCGTGCGGGCGCATTCACCTCAGAGTTTCGATGGCAGTGATGTCTTTCAAGACAGCTCGCTTTTGCTCAAAAGTAGCAAGCCGTCGGTGGTTGCACATCCAACGTCCTCTGTCCTCGACTATGACTCGTATGCTCCGAATTCAGAAAGCGTCCTATCGAATAGTGGACTGGATAGATACCTGGGACCACTTGAGGATTCTCAAAGTCTGCGGCCATACTCGAGTAGACCTATTAGCCCTAGCTTGCAACCGCAGGGAGCCGCACGTGTTAGATCGAAGAGTGTACTCGAGCAAGACCTACTTGGACAGAAGGACTTGAGACCATACCAGGGTAGAAATACGAGCCCTGATCAGGAATTACTGGTTCGGCGACGGTTCACCATCGATGATCAGATTGACGCTGAACGAGAGGGTAGATTGACACTGCCCTGGAGTCATCAGTCCAACAAGAACCAATTGAACACCAGAACCTGGTCACCGCTGTCAATTGACTCAGATGGGCGGACAATGGAGCATGTGTCAGCTACTGTGCCGCCTCTCCATGAATATGCCTGGCTTCCCGAACCACGTCTGCGACTGGAGAAAGAAAGACACAAAACTGACACGACGAGACTCAGATCACGAACAAGACCTACCACAAGCTACAAGAATGTAAGGCATGATTCATCGCTCAAGGTATATGGGCAAACCGTGCCGCTCGATTGGGAATCTCATCGCCGACCAACACAAGCTCCAGCATGGGGTTTAATGGAAATGGCTCAAGGGCTATCGTCCTACAATCCACCCAGCGTGGGCACGCCACAGAGATCTCCAACATCGGAAGCCGCTCTAAGCCCGGGCCAATTCAGATTCACTAATCCCAGACCAGAGCCCAAACCTACCGTAGACTACCGACAGTCTACCTTGCCCTGGAGAGCGACTGGCCCGTCCACTCGACACAGACAACCAGCCCATACCTCTGGCCTCGTTCTCTGACGGATGACGAAGACCATCAGGTCATTGCATCAATAGCAGTCCGTAGTCAGTAAAACTGGAGGTAGTGTGGTACACCCTGATCATAAATATCATCCAAGAGCAATACCGAAGCATTCTTTAAACATCAATATGTATAAATTTACAGCTTAAGCTCGGAGCATCGCAAATCTAGTACGCACCCTGCACAACCAACCCCGGCCGTCTCTCGCTCCCATCAGCATCAAGACCGGTCTCGACCTCGACCTCAACGGGCCCCAAAAACTCCCGAACCACCTTCTCAAACACCTCCTTCCCAATTTCCATATGTCTCCCAGGCACGGTCCGAAACACCAAGGCCCCCTTCTCATCCAACTCCCGCAACCCAAGCCAATCCTCCTTGTAGATCTGTCTATCCCTCAGCCCAACAACCACGCCATCAGCATCCACCTCCGCAAACCACGCCGACTCCTTAGGATGAACAACTCCATCCTCCTCAAACATCAGCATAACAAACTTCTCCAGCGAGCTCAAATTCTCCTTATACGTCTCGTTCTTGACGTCACGCTCATTATTCACATCCGCCAAGAAATTGCTGTGCTGGAGGTAGAGCTCCATTTCCGATTGTTGCTGCTGCTGAGCCCCACGTTGCGCCTCACCTGCCCCCTCAAGCCCCTCATACCCCACCCCGTCTGCCCCCAGCCCCTGCACCCCAGCCCCAGAGCGAGAATCCTCCACCCCCGCCTGCGGCCGAAAATACTGCCCGGGCACGAACCCCCCCTGCACAACCCCGCTCCACCGCCCAGCATGCAACAGCGCCTCGGCACCCAAACAGACCAGATCCCCCCACCGACACGCTTGGAACTTGGTGATGCCGTTATGCTGGCTGCCGAAGGTGATGAGGGTGCGGACGGGCGGGGCGTTGCAGCGCTCGACGTAGGCGCGCAGGAATTGGCCGCCCTGGGAGAAGCCGATGGCGTTGACGGCGGGGGCCGTGGACAAAATCGGGTCGGCGGCGAGCTGGGCGCAGACCTCGGCGATTTGCGTGGTTAAGTTGCCCAGGAAGGTGTTGCGGCGGTCGGTGGCGGCGTCATCCCCCAGATGGATGAGGTGCGTGTAGGTGCCTTCGTGGATTTGGTTGACAACGTCCGACAGGCTGGTGAGGGAGGGGTTCGTGTAGGTGTCGCCCAGGCCGTGCCAGATTATTAGCGGGAGGGAGGTGAGGTCTTTTTGGGTCTTGGGGGTGGCCCTGGGGTGGTGGGGAGGGGTGGGGGAGGTGAGGGCTTGGGGGAGGAGGAGTGGGAGCGAAAGAATGGCTTGTAGGAGATGCATTTTCGTCGGTCCCCTTCGGAGGAAGGGTGGGATTCTTCAGATGAGGAGAGGAGAGGGGAGGGAGTAGCAGGTTGGAGGTGATGAGGGCGAAACTGGGTAATGGTAAAGCAACGTAAATTGCGGTGGTTGCAGGTCGAGGTTGCGACGCGCTTCGTTCGGGCTTCTGACGTAAGGCGGTAGCTGATCCCGCGGCGCTAAGTCGGTTCCTGAGGAGAGAATCTGGGGAAAGTGGAGTCACCACCACCTCCTGCTGCACTGCACTCACTGTACGTTGTAAAGAAGACTTACAGCATGTACTCATACGACTACTCTCTGTATCTCAGATTGGACAGAAGCCTACTCTGCGATCCGGTGAGGAATTCCGCACACCTATACATTAAGTCTCTCTCTATCCAACGCACAGGAATTAGCTCTTGTACTCAGTAAAGCACACCTCTCTCTATACATCCAATACAACATAGGAAAATATAACAATGAAAGTAACAGGTAGGATGGTATATTCAAGCCCCGCAATCATGAGACACACACACTAAGAAAAAAAAAGATTGACATGAAGAAACTAATACGGGGGACGTCCGATTCCTCCGCTGATGCCCCGTCGACCAAGACCTCCACGAGCCCTTGCACCCCCCGGCCTCAATTCAGCATGAGCGGGCGAGAGAAACCCCTCCAGAAGTTTGGTCACCTCGCGGCGCGGGTCAGAATTCGAAAGAGCGTCCCCGTCAGCAGCTTGTGCCGACAGACCGGTGCTCGATCGACTCTTGTGCTTGCTGAGGGATTTGCCATGGTGAGGCAAGGCGGGCGCGACGGCCTTCCCGTTCACAGCCGCTTGTCCACGCGGCCCCGGAGCAGTCGAGGGTCGATCGGAAGCCAATGAACGTTGCGACTCGCTGGCGAGGTTCCCCGTGACGGACAAAGAGGGCGGGATCGGAGGGACAGGAGGAATATCCTCGTGAGCCATGTAGTACATCTGCGAGCCCGCAAAAGAAGATGTTGATGCTTTCGGAGTCACCGTGTCTCCGTCCTGGCCGTCGCGCGATTGATGGCGGATTGAGATGCCATCTGCGTCGAACTCTGACAAAGAATAGCCGCTGACCATGCTCTCACTGCTCGATGAGACAACGCTGCGGTTGGAGGCATCAAGTCGGCCTCTAAGGGGGCTAAGGCGCCGGAGTTTCTCTTGATCATTGATCGAAAGTACGCGTCTCAGTTCATTGACATGCACGGGAGACTCCCGGCTAGAACTGTTCACCCGAACTCGAGCGGATTCCGAAATGCTCATCCGACGAGAGTTGTGCAGACCAGCTGCAACTTGCTGGCCGGATTTGGGAGATGTGGTAGAGGGAGGGCTGCTCTCGGTCGGATTCACGTTGAAATGATTGCGAATCGCCAGGGTTCCTGCTCTCGATCCATTCATAGATATGAATTCTGCCTTCTCTCGCTCGGCAGCGGCCAGGCACAATTCACGAGTCCAAGCCGATAGCATTTGCTCGCGAGCTGTAGAAGGTAGGAGCTGTCTCTGTGGGGTGTCCTGGAGACCTGACCCTTGTCCCAGCACTGGCAAAGTCGGGGCACGCCCTGGAGAGGAAGGAGGGCTGGTGGTGGCATTCTGTACAGAGAAGTTGTACGAGTCCTCGATACAACGAACTAGCTCCTCCACCTCGGTGAACGGTGTAAGCTGGTTGACATCCCCTGCGTAGTTACTGGCACCGTTAGTGCCTTGGAGTATAGTCTCCAGACTTGCTGGGGGTAGGCGAATGTGATCAAGCCAGAGACCAAGCTTCTGCCTCTTGACGACTTCGTTCTGTATATCTCTTCCCACTTTGGTGGATTCTAAGTCGAACTTCTCTGACACCGCCCACAGATATCCATACACCAGACTACCAATGTTCACCCTTGCAGTGACTGACTGCAGGGACTCGACAGTGCCCACATCTTCTTGGAGCTTCAATACCATAGAAAGCCCGAAGCGAATGGCATTCACTCCCAAGTTATCGAGAAGGCTTGCCAGCAAAAGGTGCAACAGCCGCATCTCAGCGACCCGTGCAAAAGACTCAAGCGCGATGTCATAAACGGCCAAATGTAGCAGCCGGAGGAAGTTGTGCTGGGCCACCAATATGGACTTCTCCCTCTGATTCACGCCCATAGAAGCGGTCCGTTTGCCGCTCTTCTCGATGTCAGACATCTCTCGTCTCAGATTGTGGGCCTTGCTGGACTTGTCGTTGACCAACAGATCTTGCTGATTGGTCTCCAGCTTGAGCCAGGTCAGGAATGCGTCTGCGTACGCATAACGAACCTCGTCCTGGGACTCCTGTAAGAGCCATTGCGTCCCCTCCCAGACATGGATGCCCACTTTGTTTCTTGTTTCGGCGCCAGCTGCGGTCGCGGCTCTCCGGGAATTCGCCACCAGCAGGATGTTCTTAATGGCCCGAAGGGCTGTGATCTTGGCAAAAGCAGACGCAAAGGCAACGAAGTTGCTGTCGCCCGAAACACTTGGCGCCTGAGAGCGCGCCCCGGGAGAATCGGTCTGAGATGAGTTTGGCGGCTGGTCAGGAGAGATTACAGGTTTGACGCGAGTCAAGATGGCTCTGATCATGTCAACAACCTGATCGCCATAATATATGTGAGTGGCGAGGTCTCCAATGCACCTCTCAAGGAGAGAGAGCTGCTCCCTCCTTTGGGCAGACGGCTCCACTACCTTTTCCCCTCCGGAAGAAGATAGCAAGAACGACAAATGCTGTAGGAGGCCCAGCAAGATATCGATAACACTCAAGCCAATCATGTTGACCGGGGATTTCAGCAGCCAGTCAATCATGAAGATGACAACAAATGGTTCGCCCAAAGTCTCGTCGCTAAGCTTCATGTCCATCAAAATCTGCATCATAGTCACTGGGATAATGAACCGGACTTGAACAGGACACCACTTGGCTATAATTTCCACCAGCGAGGTAGCCCAGTTCTCCCTGGTGTCCAGTGTGAAGCTCGTGTTGCTAGTGGGGATCTTCCGAAGAATAAACTCCAGCGCAATTTGAGTAGTGACTCGAATCTGGCCGCGGCTGCTTCCACTAACGACAATGCGCTCGAGGCAGCGAAGGGCAAGAAGCCGAACATCCAACTCGGCCTTCTTGTCTGCGTCGGCTGCGGACTGCGATGCCAATACCGGATCACCGTTGGCCGTGTCAACTGTCTGCACGGTCGCGGTGCTGACGCGCCGTTTGTGGGCGAGCTCGGTGTCTGCCTTTTCCGACTGCTCAAGCAGATGTTCGAGCGAGGTCACTAAATCCTTATCTCCTTTGCACAGATTCTCGAGTATGATCGGCATTGTAATTCTCAGCGAGTCGCCGCCATCGGCCGCCAGGCCCGTCTCGGAGCCGACCACGCCCTTGATGGCGCGCAATCCCGCGTTCCTCCACCGCAGGGCCATGGGTAGACTCGGGGCAAGGGCGTTAGCCTGAGAGGACGGCTCGACCTCCGCAAAGCTCGCATATGTACGTACCACCTCGCGGTACTGTGTTGCGAACTCAGGCTCCGCTGTCAGTGCTGCCACATCCTGATGGCTGCAGAAGGTTTCAAAGGTAGGGATGGAGTCCTCGACGATTGTGATGTCGCGAGAGCGGAGCACGGTTTCCAGGATTGTCAGGACGGATCGGGCGTAGATGGGGAGGTCGCGGGGGACTTTTTCGATGAGGGCCGTAAGGATCTGGAGCGTGACCTGCACATTGCTACACGAGATCAGTCTCTTCTTCACTATTGATGCAGGAGAAATGACATCCACCAAAGCACATCGTCACTCATTGTCGCTCGAACTTACCCTGTCTTGCGACGCCAGACATCGCGAGCGGCTCGTTTCTCCAGGAAAGCGCCAACCTTGGTCAGCTTGCTGCGGCGAGTGCTGGCGTAGTAGAGCAAATAGGACAGTTCACTGGGATTGGGCTTAACCTCCTGCACCCCTTTCTGGTATTGTGGATAGCATTTCAGCACCAGGACCTGGTGTTTCGGCCGGCAGGACTGGCGCACGCCCTCCATTGGTGTGAACTGCGGCAACGGGTGCCCGAATCTCGGTATATGAGGAATTCCAGGAAAGGTAAGGGATTACGCAAATTCCGTCGCAGTATCAGGCGATACACGCCAGGAAGTGAGAACTAGACAGACTAGCCAAGGTGTGCTTGTCTATGAATCGACCATCCAGGAGGTTCAGCGGAGATTGCGTTAGTAAGAGCCTTGATCGGGTAACGGTCAACGTGGACCTTTGAAGGGCGGAGTGAGAGAGATCAGAAAAGAAAGGGATTACAAGCGGGGCAACGCGAACGAAATGAGTAAAGGCTAGAAGTACACAATAGACAGTGAGCGAGACTGAGCAGCAGCCGAAACAAGGTCCAGAGCTGAGTGGTTGAGCTGGCAGAAAAGCGAGGCAGAAGCGAGAGAATCCACCCCTCAGATGGAGTGGGAAAGACGGCGATAAGTTCAAAGGTAGAGTAAATTACTAGTTGACGCGGCGGGCGGCGGGCGGCGGAGGAGTTGAATCCACTCCAGAGGTTCGGGAAAATCAGCCCCGTCCGCCGTGACTGTACGGAGTACTGTACAGTACATAAATTATGCATGCATGGACCATCTCACAGCAAGATACGTCCTAGTCTGAGGAGTTATCATTGAAATCAAGAGATTTGATTGATTGACTAATTACAACACTGCTAAGATGTATGCGCATGTCATCGCATCGACCCGAACAATTGATTGGTGATGCTGTTCTTGTCGTCTCTTTTTTTCCCCTGCAACCCAACCCCACGGCAACGTCATCGACTGCTTCCCAGGCACCGTTCCCCAGCCTCTGGTTCGAGGACGGGAAATAGAGACTGTGAACTAACCTCACATAGTGTCATACGTGCAGCGAAGTTTCTCGTTACGAGTGTTCCCCTTCTGGCCTATCTTCTCACGCAAAGAACAGCCCAGCGACATCGGCTCGCATGAAACCGAGCACGGCATTTCCGGAGCAGATCTCAATGGTCCCAATTCTGAGACTTTCAAGTCTGGTCGCCGACATATGGAGTACGTTTCCTGACTGGCCACTTTCTTCTTGACAGATAGCACCCAGAAAATCAATCAGGGCCACGAGCCAGCCAGAAAACCGCCTATGACTGTGCGACCGACCGATTTGTACTGTACTGTACCTCGGTCACACATGACACCCCGGCACCCCTGGTTCGCGAATCGCCGTTGTGTGAGCATACTGAGTGAGCCCCTTATATCCTTCCCAGGTTTCTCGCAAGCGCGGTACGTATCCCACACGAATCACCAGTCACCATCTCCTGTTATTCCTCGATCCTCATGCAGATGATTTCAGGGTACGAGTGCGTCCCTGCCCAATTCCTTCTCACCGAAACCTCAGCTCCCCTTACCATCCTGCTGCTCCGACTGATCCTGCTGTTGCTCTTCGCCCTGAGATTTGTCCCCTTCCACTGCCTGCTCCGGCAATCCATTGCCCGCCAGCGCCTCGACAACATCCGGGCGGATCACATCGCGCCGGAAATTCTCCTCCTGCAGCAGCCGCAGCGCCCGTAGCGTAGCCCCCGGGTGGGTTAAGAATTGTGCATATTCCGGGGTCTTCCAGTAGGAGTAGAGGTAGGCAAGGTAGGCGGCGAACGCAGCAGCGTCGGGGTCGCGAGGGGTCGCGGTGTCTCTGTTGTCGGTCGCGTCCGTCTCGTCGGTGGACTGGCTGATGCCCAGGAGATTAGGGTAGTTAACGGCCAGATGGGAGAGGTAGTAAGGATTTGCGAGGGAGGAGACAAATTCGAGCTCGAGGGTGAAGCGTGGGTTGGTGAGGGTTGGGGCCGGCGGTTGTTGCGGGTTGGTTGGGTCAGTGGGTGGTTGTTGTGGCTGGGCCATGGTTGTGCGTTGGAGATATTGGGGTGAGCCCCGCGTGTAGTGTTCGAGAGTAGAGAGGTGTCACGGAGTTCGATGGTATCGATCAGAGGTCATAAGCTGGCCGGATGGTTTGAGGGTGGAGGGGAGAGAGTGACTGTGCAGTGCAAGCTTGATTCGGAGTGGCAGACGTTGGCGGCACGGGAAGGTAAAAAAGATGCCAAGCATCCATTGGTATACGCCAGACCCACTTTCCCCCGCTCCAAATTGGACGAGCTGTCAATCTGATGTAGATTCAGGCACAGCCCACTTTACTCCAGGGGAAGACTGTTTCCATCAATCTGGAGCATTACTTTGACGAGTCATTTCGGAAATTTCCGAAATGCAAAGGGTCACTCCTGGAGAACTTATCTGATGCGAATGATCTAGAGCCCTGGTCTGGCATGACCTAGCGACCTGCGATAAGTCTGCCTTAACACGCGAGTGTTAATGAAAGGTGGGCTTTCAGATCAAGCCCACAGCTTTATCAACAGTGCTATTGAGATATATTAATCTTAGTTGTCCCAGGTTGCTCTGCAAGCCGATCCACATATGCCATGTTTCCAACAATCACGAGCTCTTCGCCCCGACCATTGAAGCTCGAATAGATCTGAGTGACTATCCTTACCTTCAGACCTAGTTCATGACCGAGACACGAACCGAGCTTGGGCTCTGCTGGAACAATGCTCAGACTGCACCAAGTCTCCCACCCGACTCTCCGTGCTGACCCCCCAACAGTTGAGATAAGAAGCTTGTCGCCACAGCCTCTTTAACTCCCTTGGTCGTTCTTGACAGTACTGATAGACCGAAGGAGGATTGAACGACCTTACCCTGTCATCAGTGGCTAATCAGGATGCCTGCAGAGGTTCACTGGGCCCTCGAGCAACGTGCCTGACAGAGGCCGTTGGGCTGTGGATTCATTGAGAGCTGTCTTTAATGACTACAAAGTGGAGGTCTTTGTGTGCCTATTTCAATTCGTGAATGTGAGGGCTATTGACGCAGACCAGCTTTCTACTGTGTTCATTCATATAACATGTCTACTAAGCCTCTGTGGCAGGTAAGTGACTATACCACTAGATGACAAACGAGTACCCATTATTGATGCAACAGCCGACATCCCCGGTAGCTCACGATGGGTTGAAATAGAGTGACTCTATCAATGTAGCAGCCAACTAGCCCATTTGAAAGCGGGAACAAATGCATTGACTTATTAGTCAGTCCGCAGTGTGTTGCTATCAGAATCCGGCATCCCTGGTTGCTAAGCCCGGAAAGACAAGCATCGGATCCCTCTTACATCATCGTCTGTCTGCACCCGGGAGGATTGTACGGATGACAAGAACATTACCGGCCTCACCAAACCGGAAAAGAACTGGGCTAATGTCTCATGTATGGCTTATGAGCTTTTCTCTTAGAGTGCACATCCTGGATTCTGTTCATCTTACTTCCAAGTCCCTCCAACCAGATTTCACGCCCAGACCCCACCGACTGCGAAAAGATCGGATATACCCAGCGACCTCAACCCTCCTGCATTCCTGTAGTCGAGGCAGCGACCAAGTAGCCCGTGCATCTAGATGACACCCGAGCGCAATGAGCTTGCTTGACAACCTCAGGACAACATAGCCCAGTCAATTCAAGCAAACACCATGTTGTTTTCGAATTCGACCGGTCGCTTATCTTCAGCCTATCCTGCTCGTTTATTCAATTCACTATCTCGAGGTCCACCTTGGTGTACATCATCTAGGATCCGTAGGATTTCAGCAGGAATACAAATCTGAAACGGGTTGCCCAACAAGATGCATCAAGTAGCCACTTGCTTCTGTGTAGCACGAGTAGGCAACCCACCCGTTCCGGCGCCCTTATTCAATTCCAACCTTATCCAGATTGAGCAAGAAAAAGCAAAAATGACATCAGAAAAACCTCCCAAGAAGAAAAGAAAAAGGGAGAAAAAGCAAAGAGGGTATGCAAGTACGCAAAGACACATACGTTAACAGCCACTAAAAATAGTGAGCTGAAAGGAAACCCGGGGGATCTGGACGAGGTGAGACCCCCCATGACGATATGCTCCCTTCCCATCCCCCGGTTTAGTTACTCAGTACCGGTACATGTAGTTATGTGACTATGTCATGTCCCTGGACCTTGACATGGGGGAAAACGTCACCGGCACTGACAGCGAAGCATGCCATCGGATGCGGACACATTCTCACAAAGTCTTCTTGATCTTGTTACAGTTGATCTGGGTGTCTCCCTCTCTTCAATCAAGGTTAAGACAAGGGGGAATGAAAGCCACCGTGTGGGTGGCTGCAGTCCCTTTTTTCCTGGTGTAGAAGGTATCTTACCTGCCAAGGATTCGAGTGGAAGGACAGGAACATTCCGTGGCATGTGTGTATTCTGGGTGTGCGTGTGTGCCTGAACGCCCCCGGGGAGTTTCCTGCGCGGGAACACGCGTGTGATGAGCCGACCGACCCTGTTCCCGTCCGCGCGGTTCGTGCAGGGGGAAGATCGGCCGGGTGACCCGGCAGAATCCTGGAAAACCCACCTTTGGAGTTGGAGAAAGGGAAGTTACTCTGTAAGTAGGGATTAGATGGGATGGAGGGGATATGGAAATTTGCCAAGGTGAGTCATTGAAGGGCCAGCCCTAAAGAAGAGGTGCATTGGATGATTACGATGCGGAGAGGCGGAGATGGAAGCGATGATGCGATGATGGGATGATGGAATATGGAATCACTATACCTCGTACTCGGTCAGTATTGTAGGCATTATTGATTAGGAAAGTGGTGGGCAATAGCCAGCCAGGGGTAAGATCAACATCGGCTGTTGTCTATCGCTCTGTCGATCCGGATTGATCGAGGGCAGACAGGCATAAGGAAGGGCATAAAGAAGGGCCACATTCCAGAGGGGAAGCGTTGACGCAATGGCAAATGCACATATGACAATATTCATAAGCAGGAGTAGTTAGTAGGAGTCGTGAAGAGCGAAGCTCCCACTAGTTGCTGGCTTGCAGGATCCGATGTGGCTCAAATTGATCTGGGGTCACTAATCAACCCGTGGAGAGCGAGAACGTTTTGGTCAAGTGAGCCCCTGAAGGGTAGAAGGAGAGAGACATTATCAAGATCAATCCATAATGATTAGTTACCTAGTAGACAGTGAGACACATACACTGCATAAGTTACATACTACATCTTTCAAAAGTAAGACTTTTCTAGCCCTGCTTCTCTTCTCGTGCTTGTTTTCTAACCCTCTCCCCTCCTCTCGCTCTTTCTTATACTGAATGTATTGTATATGTTAGTTAGTTGGTAATGTTATGACTATTGACATACACTTCCCACTACTAATTTTCGCCCCCCTTTTGCATGTCAAATTTAAATCCCCCAATAACCGAAGCCAAAAGCTTCTCGCCTTCACTCCACTTTTCGTTTTTCCTTCTTCCCCTCCGCCTCCACCCCCTTTCAGTCGATGAACCGTGGTTTACTGCATCGGACCAAACTATAGTTAGCCGTGACTCTGGATATTCCCCAGGGGTAGTACCAGCACTAACACCAGCAGCGACAGCACCATCCGAGTTACTCTCTATTCTTCCCTTCCTTCCCTTCCGTCCGCTTCCTTCTCTTCGTCTTTCCTTTCTTCTCCTTCTCCTCCCAACTCTCTTTTTCTCTCCCTCTCTTCTCTTCTCTTCTTCCTCATCTTCTTCTACTTCCCTCCCTTTCTCACTTTGCTGACCCCCCACCCCTATATCCTCCTCTTCATCCTACCGGTTGTGACTCCTATTCCAACCCCTCCAGGCTACTCTTTAACCCCCCCCCACCTTATTCGGGAATTAAATAATTCCACAACTGGAACAATTTGATCACTTAGCACCTTCCTCCACCAACCACCTCCCATCAAGCAGAAAGCAGCCACTGGCAAGAATCAGGGCCAATCACTTCTGCATTTAAAATAAAAAGATTAAGAATTCTCACATTCCTCGGTGCAAGGTCTTTTCTTCGACCTCGACCTCGACCACGACTACGACTTGACGGACCGACGGACGGACACCCTACGTCTTGTGCTGCGCTCCTTTTAATTCCCCCCTCCAATTATTCTCTCCTAAATCGTCGGCCGCGGCATCGCTGTTTCAGCAACGCCTAAGCTTACTCTAGTTTGGCGTTGGTCCT